AAATTATTTTTTACTTAGCTATAATTTGTAACTACATACCTTTTTTTGTTTTCAAAAGTTATTAAAATAAAAATGAAGTGGCTTCCTATAGGACTTAAGAAAAATTACCTCCCAAATGCATATTTACCTGTTCTGTTGTTAAATGTGAAATTGTAAACCTTGCTTCTACTATGTAATTTGCAGTCTAACAAATTTTAAAAAGTAATCTACCTTTCAGACTGTTTTAAGTATTTAACATTTTTTTGTATGGTAGTTAATTCATTATGATTGTTGTGGCTTTTTTTGGTTCTTGATTTGGTTTGAATTGCTTCTAATAGAAGATGTTGAGCAAAGATTGTTCAGGAGTTTATCTTGCTGTTTTATAAAACTGTATTCTAGGCCACAATAATTTTTTAAAAATCGCAAAAGTCTTTCTCCACATTTTTAGCTGCTAACATTTTAATTCACTTTTAAAGTGTCCTGTTTAAAAAATAATGGAGGGAATGGAATAGATTTGGTGTTTAGCTAAGAGAAATGTAAAGTGACAGTTATTAGAAAGGCTGTTACTAAGTTGAAAATTCACTACAACAATCAAACCAATACTCAATCAGACTATAGCATTTGGACTCAATGTAGAGATTCTGAATTTGTTCATTAACAGTTGCAATAAAACTGTATAACACAGTGATAGTATTATGTATCACAGTGATTTCCAGTAAACTGAAGTATGTTCAGCTTGGTGTCTAGTTAGGTTAATGTTTAGTTGATTGTGCTTATTCAGGTTACCTAACATGAGAAAGTACTGTTTCATGGTCTCTCATGCAGTGTTACCAGATTGCCAGATATAAGTGTATCTATAGATACATCATGAGGTTATTGTCCCATTTCTTCATGCTTATTTCATCACAGAGGCTGACCCCAGCCTCTCCAGTTTCTTTGAATTCGTTGTCCAGCTCTTTCCTATATCCTTATCTGTGGACTTTTTGCTAAAGGAAATTCCTTGTTTAATTGGTGTTTCAGAAAAATGGGAAAATTCATGGCCCATTGTCTCTGGAGTCATATCATCACCTTCACTAGCAATTAAGTGAAAAGCAGGCTCTAAAATTTTTCTCACAAAATTACCAACATGAATATTATCTTTAATATTGTGCATTTAATATTAATGCACAATATTAACGTTAGCATTATTAATATTATTTAATAATGCTCATTGTGATAAACATGAAAAAATTAACTTACCACAAATCACTTTGTCTGCATTTAAAAAATTGTTGGTATAAATAAATATATTGAAATAAATTTCAAAGAGAAAGTGTTTAAAAATCTCATGTACCATTGAAATGATTTTTTTTTTTTCCTGTTTAGGTTATAACCCACTTCAAGTCTTTGTAAATAAATGGAAATAGATCTATGAGAAAAGTTGATATATAATTACTAACAGATTACCCTGAAACTTAACTTAGTAGCACAGCAGACCTTTATCATCTCATGACATATATCATTCCTGTGGGTCAGAAATTTGGAGCAGGTTAGCTAGGTATTTCTGGCTCTGAGTCTTTCATGAGATTGTGGTCAAGCTTTTGGTCAGTGCTGCAGTCGTTTCAAGGTTCCACTGGGTCTGTAGAATTGGCTTCCATGTTCATTCATGTATGGGTCTTGGCAAGAGACCTTAGTCCTCCCTGGAGCCCTCATTTCATAGCCACATGGTGCTCTCTGTAAGGCTGCTTGAGTGTCCTTGAAACATAGCAGCTGATTTCTCTAGAATATATATATAATTGCAAATGACCTAGATGGTGTCTGACCATAAACATCAGACACCATCACTTCTGCCATATTCTGTTTGTTTAGAAGCAAGGCACTAAATTGAGCCTACTCTCAAAGAATGGGGAATTGGGCTCTGCCTTTTGAAGGGAAGATTGAAGAGTTTGAAGTCACAGTCACCACAAAGATGTACACTAAGGAGTCTTAACATTATATAATAAATGCTGTACTAGTTCCTTAATAGAGTAATTCTCAACTCTGATACTGTATCAGACTTATCTGTACAGCCCTTATAAAACAAACAAAGCAAAATGCAGATGGTTGTATTAGACCTGTTGATTCACTTGCAGTCAGATTTTCCATAGGTGCAGCCTGTGCAGCCAAAGCTGTCCAGTGTCTTTAAGATGTACTTTTTGATTCAGTGACATGTTACTGCTATAATTCTGTAAAACTGTTACATTCCAGATATGTATAGGAATTAAGACTTTTTGGTATATGTATTAAAGTATTTTCTAGCTTTAATGTGTATAAGTTCCTTATTAATATTCTAGCATTTGAACTTTTGGTAGAACATGTGGAATTTCTATTTTGTGTTTAGTATTGTTAGAGTTAAAATTGCTAATAGTTGTTACAATAAAGAGCGATAAAAATGAATTGAAGGATGTCATGTATCATGTATGTATCTGTTTTTCCTCAAATGAACTATTAGGTTATCCTGTCTCTCCCCCTCATTTGTAGTCATCTCTCCCTACTGTAATTCCCTAATGTATTTGTCTTTTTTTTAAAACTGTAATTGGTAAGTCTTTTTGTGTCATCAGTGTCCTTTGAAAATTTAATTTACTGAGCATTATTTATGTTACTGGCATGAAACTAAGAGAAGCTAGGAAGTTAAATCTAAGCTGGGGGTGGATTCTAACTTGGGATTTTGCCAAGTTGGTGGCATAGAAGAAGAGTAGAAAGAAAGTGAGGCAAACGTGGCTGAGGAATTTAGAGGTTGTTTGAAATAGTGGACTCTGAGGGGAGAGTACAAGAGGAAGTAAATTAGAGGAACTGTGCCTTGGACAGCAACTAAGGGAGGTATTGTAGGGGGCTTTTACTAGGATGGATAGGGAGTTGGTGGCTGTAACTAGATGTTTGTAGCAGTAAGTAAATTGGAGGTCTGGTTTTTGGGTAGCTTGTTGTAAGAGCAATTTGGTGTAGTGGTTAAGAGAGCAGACTTTAGAGTAAGAAATTTAGGTTTAAATCTTGGTTCTGTTACTAATTTACATGTAGTCTTGGGCAGTTTGCTTAACTTTTTCCTGAGCCTCAGTTTCATCAGTAAAATGAGAACTAAATATAGAATGTAAAGTGTGGAGCACTGTTCATGGCGCAAATGAAGGTTCAGTAAATGTTAGTGCTTAGCTATTGCTATTATTTTATTATTATTTACCCTAACTTGTAAAATGATCTTTAATTAAATAGGTAGCAACTTTAGCTTAGTTGAAAAACAATTATCTGCTTTTTAGCAATTGGATGGGCATGGTTTGGGCATCAAAAACTTTCCCTCTTCCCTCCTGACCCTGTTTCTTTTTCACTTCCTACTCCCTACCCCCATCAACAAATAACCATAGTTACTTGTTTATACTTATAGCTATTCATTATTCAGACATAAGCCAACCCAAATATATAATCTCCTTTTCTTCCCACACAAATGGTAATACGCTATACAAGTTTTTTCTCTATCTCGCTTTTTAAACTTAACAAATTGATAGGAAAATTTCTCCATGATATGAAAACTTCCTCATTCTTTTTTGTCCTTTTGCTGTATCCCATTCCCTTGTGTAGATTTAGTATACTTTCTTTTTCCAGTCCTCTGTAAATGGACAGTTGCAGATTTTTGATTTTACAATCAGTGTGACACTGAATGACTTGTACACATATCATTTTGAACATGTAAGTATATCTGTAAAGTTAATTCATTGAAGTAGAATTGCTGGGTCAGTTGTATTTGTGATCTTTTTACTGCCATACCCTAGGAGCTACCAGTTTACTCTCAGCAGCAATAATGTATGAAAACTGATTGTTTCTGTCTTGCCTCCAGAATATGTTTCCATATATTTAGATTTTATCAACTTTATAACAGAAAAATGATATTTCAGTATAGCTTAAGTTTGAATTTCTCTTATGGATGATGTTATATTTTTACTCATATTTAAGAATCATTTTTATTTCTTTTTCTGTTTAGTATTTCATTTGACTTTTAAGTCTTTTTTACATTCTTAAGTTTTTGCTTCTTTTGTATAATCAAATTACTCTTGTGCAATATATGGATTTTCTCTCATAATTCAAAAGGTCTTCATTACTCCAGAGTTGTAAAATAACTTTTTCTTGTTTTCTTCTAATACTTTAATGGTTTCATGTTTTTACTGTGGTATATGGAATAAGTTATGGGTCCAACTTAATTTTTTAGAAAGACAACTGCCAAGTTTTCTCAGTACCATTTATTTTGTAGTTCATCCCTTCTTCCTTCACTTGGATGTCACCTTTATAAAATTTATGTTTCTATATATATTTGGGTCTATTTCTAAATTTGCTTTTCTTTCGTTAAAATTCTGTATTGTGTGGTATGTTTTCAAGTTTCCCTTTATTGTCCTCTTCTTCAGGGTTTTTCTGACCATTATTTACCTTGTTCTGGGGGAGAATAGCCTCTTGTTTTTTTTTTTTTTTTTTTGTTTGTTTTTTTTGCGGTATGCGGGCCTCTCACTGTTGTGGCCTCTCCCGTTGTGGAGCACGGGCTCCGGACGCGCAGGCTCAGCGGCCATGGCTCATGGGCCCAGCTGCTCTGCGGCATGTGGGATCTTCCCGGATCGGGGCACAAACCCGTGTCCTCTGCATCAGCAGGCGGACTCTCAACCACTGTGCCACCAGGGAAGCCCGCCTCTTGGTATTTTTATTGGTACCACACTAATTATTAGTTTTTGATGTTTTGGTGTTGTTTATAATTTGTCATAACTTCTTTTTTTAATAATAGAGCCTACTGAATCTTTAATACATGTATTAGTGTGTATTTGGCAGAATACTGAATGATGACTACATATACCACGTAAAGCATATTAAGATAAGGGAGAGAAACTTATATTTCTTCATTGCTTTCTATGAACCAGATGCTTTTTTACATATATTAACTCATTTAACTATCATGCTATTAGTTTGTAACTGGAATTTGTAGAATGTGCAATTGTTTATGGTTAAATTTCCTTCAACATTGCTTTTTTCTTCAGCTGTGATGCAGATCCATCAGCCCTGGCAAAATATGTTCTCGCTTTGGTAAAGAAAGACAAAAGTGAAAAAGAATTAAAGGCGTTATGTATTGATCAACTGGATGTATTTCTTCAAAAAGGTAAGATCTTTGGTTTAAAAATACTAATTTAAAAAGTTATTTAAAATAAGATTCAGAGAGTGTTAAAGGAATTCAGTAAGAGACAGACTCTAACTGTAACAAAGTTGAACAAATAGTATTATTACTGATTATATCCATAGCTTATTTATAATGGAAATCTTTTCTTTCATTAACGTCCATATGCTTATTCTTAAAGAATGCTGTTATTTTTTTCTTGAGAGATTAAGAAAATGACTGAAAGATAGTACTGCTTAGGAACCTACTTTGGATGTTGTCTAGCACAGTGCTTCTCAAATTTTTTCACCTTGCCAGCATTTAGGTAATGATAATATTTCTGTTTGGCACACTAGGCAGGATACATGGAGACTAGTGATGGCTGGGAGCGACTGACCCAGAGGCTCTAGCCATTCTAGCCCTCAGCATCCTGAGAATTGAATGGATCAGTATTACCATGGGACTTGTGCCATAGTACACTGGTTGGGAAGCTGTTGGTCTTAGTATAATTTTTAGATTTATAAAAATCAAGGCATATTTCATCATACTGATGTGGAGAAGTAGAGAATAAATATCTTAGCAAATGATTTTTAATCTATGCTGGTTTTGGTTTTATTTTTAGAGACACAGATATTTGTGGAAAAACTTTTTGATGCTGTGAATACAAAGAGTTATCTACCTCCTCCAGAGCAGCCATCATCAGGAAGCTTAAAGGTAGAATTTTTTCAGCACCAAGAAAAAGATATAAAAAAAGAAGAGGTAAGAATTTGTGTTAAACTTTACATGTTCTTTAAAAACATATTTGGAGTGATTAAACTGAGTTTTATTTTTTTTAATTTATTTTTAGTTTTGTTTATTTTTATCTGTGTCGGGAGTCCTCAAGACCACCTCCAGGTTTGATTATTTCACTAGGAGTACTCACAGAACTCAGAGTGTATAGTCATACTCATGGCTATGATTTCTTACAGTGAAAGGATACAAAGCAAAATCAGCAAAGGGAAAAACGTACATGGTGCAAAATCTGGGGAAAAACAGGAACAGATTTCCAGAGGTTTCTTCCAGTGGAGTCAAAGAAGATGCACTTAACAAGTAGTGACAACATGTGTGAACCAGGGGCGCTCATTAGAGACACAGTGCCCAGGGTTTTTATTTAGCGCTGGTTACATAGGCATCTTCAGCCTCATATGTACCAAAATTCCAGACTCTGAGGAGGAAAGCAGATGTTCAGCATAGACCATGTTGTTTATCCAGACAGTTTAGGCATAGTGAGCTATTGTTATCAGGGAATGATGTGAACCTTCCAGAAATTGTTGTTTGCAGATGCCAGCTAAGGGCTTACCTTATCAGCAGGTCTTTCTAAAGATAACAGTCTCAGGAGTGCTTTTAATTCTTTTCTGCACAGTATTTATAGGTATGGACTCTTATTATCTGTGTTCTATGAAAATAGTTAGATTGTCAGTAGATCGGTTTGCTTCTGCCTACATGCATTTTGTAGGGGACTTTTTTTTTTTAATAGATTTATTTATTTATTATTTATTTTTGGCTGTGTTGGGTCTTCCTTGTTGCACACGGGCATTCTCTAGTTGTGGTGAGCGGGGGCTGCTCTTCGTTGCAGTGCACGGGCTTCTCATTGCAGTGGCTTCTCTTGTTGCGGTGCGCAGGCTTCAGTAGTTGTGGCACATGGGCTTAGTTGCTCCACGGCACGTGGGATCTTCCCAGACCAGGGCTCGAACCCATGTCCCCTGCATTGGCAGGCAGATTCTTAACCACTGCGCCACCAGGGAAGCCCTGTAGGGGACTATTTTTAAGGTAGTCAAATAAAAGGACCTTCACAGGGCAATGTAAATGACTTCATACTTTAAGAGGTGTTTACCTTTCATACAAGATTACCCTCTTGTTTAATAATCATATAATAGTTCAAATTTCCTCAGTTTGATGTTTAAAGATTGTAATTTTAACAAAAATAATCATTGACAATTAAGCTATTAATATAATATATCCATGGTTAGCCTAGTTTTAGGTCAAACAAATCTTGGTTAAATTTTTACCACTGTTTGGGGCTTCCCTGGTGGCGCAGTGGTTGAGAGTCCGCCTGCCAATGCAGGGGTCATTGGTTCAAGCCCTGGTCCGGGAGGATCCCACATGCCGCGGAGCAATGAAGCCCATGTGCCACAACTACTGAGCCTGCGCTCTAGAGCCCACGAGCCACAACTACTGAGCCTGAGTGCCACACTGCTGAAGCCCGCACGCCTAGAGCCCATGCTTTGCAACAAGAGAAGCCAGCCAATGAGAAGCCTGCGCACTGCAACGAAGAGTAGCCTCTGCTCGCCGCAACTAGAGAAAAGCCTGTGCACAGCAACAAAGACCCAATGCAGCCAAAAATAAAAATAAATAAAATTAATTAAAAAAAAATTTTACCACCGTTTTGTGACCTTGAAATTATTACTTTTCCAACCCTTAGTTTACTCAGCCGTGAAATGGAAATATTATAGGACTGTTGTGAGGAATAGTAAAATAAGGTCTGTGAAGCACTTGGCAGAGTGTGTGGCACAAAGTAGGTTCTCAGTAAATGATAGTTGCTATTATTGTTGAGACATTGTTGTGTGTTGGGTGTGGTTGTGGCCCTTGGTTTTTTTTCACCTGATAATCTGTTTTTTTCCAGATTATATAAGTAATATATGTTCGTTATGTTTACATATGTGTTATATAATAATATTTACATATGTATGATATGTATTGTAATTTACATATGTATTTACATATGTATTATATAATTCTCAAATGTATTTTTGTCTCTGTATATCTGAACATATTTGCACACATGTATATATATATGTGTGTATATATATATATATATATATATATATATAGTTACATGCACATATACATAAGACATCCCCATCACTTCTGTCTTCAGAGGAAGACCAGAAATAATTTTATAACTGCATGTTTTGTACCTAACGGTATAGGGGGTCTGTTAGTAAGGAAGAATGGGATAGTGGATATTGTCTTGGCAACTGCTTATGCAACATAGAGATATACAATAATTTATTTAAATTTTACCCATTGATGGAAGTCTGGATTGGTTCCAGAATTTTTTCCAGATAATTGCAAATTATATTTTAATTCTTGGAAATCTTGAGTAAATCATGGGCTCTTTGTTTGAGAAGCAGTAAGCCTTAGTCTTACATCTGTTGATATAATAATATTTCACCACAATTGTCTTGAGCAGTTGTGAAGGATATTTATCCCTCATCTTTCAGAACCGAAATGTCAGATGGCAGTCTGGATTTTAAATGCTGTGGGTGTTGTGAAAGTTCGCAGTTGGGCAGGTACCATGGAATGTGACAGTCTGTCAACCTAACTTACTTACAAGAGTGCATGGAAGCAAACTGAAGGGAAAAAGTGCATCAGGAGGGTTTTTTGTTTTGTTTTGTTTTTGCAGGGGGGAAGGTTGAAATGGATAGGAAGAGTAGAACAAAAAAAGTACTTACAAGAAAGAAAAAGGCAAACTGTTAAAAGAAGGCTTTTAAGTATTATTTCTCAGAGTTTGGTCTGTTGATAGGATTTCCATTTAATTTATCATCCAGTGTGAGACACTTGACAGTGAGAGGCTTTTACCCAAAGGAATGCTGAAACAGCTGGCATAAACTGGGACATATTTATGCTATCTGTAGACTATGTGCATAAGAATATCTTAGGGTTTTTATTAAACATGCAAAATCTTGAGCCCTATCATATTTACAGAAGCTCATGTTCAATATTTTCTGAATTTGTTTATGCTCTGAATCCTTTTTTCTCTAATAACACCTCTTAATGTCCTGTGGAACCAGTTTTTTGGGCAGCATGGAAAACTGGTCTAGAGAAAGTAGCACTGATCAAGGGAATGTTTTTCAGGGCTGCATTATATTAATTATATAATATGAATTGTAGGAAAGAGGAATGTATAGCTGTCATACTGCTGTGAGAAACTAGAGAACTGTTTTCACTTGTTTATTTTCACAGGTATTTTTTTCTCAAATGTTTTCTTTTTCTATGACTTGGTTAGTTCTAATGCATTCTCCTTTAGTCCCTAATGTGTTTGGTGCCAGATCAAATCCATGAAACCAAAACTTGAATGGACTTTTGAAAGAAGGAATAAAATTGGCTTTCCATTAATGATGTGTAAAATGAGGACACTTGCTTAAAATGTTTTTCTTGCTACTGTTACCTACGATAAACATTTATGAATTTCTTTACCATTCACTTTAACTTTCAGCAAGCCTGTCTTTTATTGTTAAATTAAATGATTGTACTTAGAAGACAAATTTATTTTGTTTAATGCTTTCACAAGAAGACTCTATTGCTCATATTTTAATATCAGTTAAGTCATTGAAACAGTAACATGGCAAGGAATAACTGTTGTTAAATTTGCACACATTTTTCTTTGTGTATCAGATCACAAAAGAGGAAGAGCGAGAGAAGAAGTTTTCTAGAAGGCTAAATCACAGTCCTCCTCAGTCAAGCTCCCGATACAGAGAAAATAGGTGATTGATTCTTTGAACCATGTTCAATGTTTAGACATTACTTTTATTTTATATGAATATTTAGACTTGATTTTCTTTTACATAGGGGTAAGTAATATCTACTCTTTTATTGGTCTAGGAAAGTGATAACTCACTCCTTTTCTACCAAGAATATCTAGGTGTGATTTGTTGGTCCTGGAAGTGAGATTTAGAACAGTGCTTGGCATATGTTGGTTATTGTTATTATTTTTATTCCTAACTGCAAATTCCAGTGAAGTCTTAATGTGAGACCTTTTTTGCCCAAAGTTTCCCTTTAGAGTAAATACATTATTTTTCCCATTAAGGCTTCAAAAGCATTTAGAGTGCAGTGCATGTAATATATACCTATAAGTATGAGACTGTGTACAAGACAATATATACTACAGGACATATGTACAGATCCCTTAATGTATAGATGCATTTGTGTATAAAATGAAGACTTCAAAAGAGTTCTTTTTTTCCTTAGAGGTTTTAGAGTACTTTAGCAGGTCATGTTCAGGTTTTCAGTTTTTTTGAGTTTCCTATGTTTGTATTCTGATGATGGGGTAAAGAATCATGGTACAAGAATAAAATAGAACTTTTGCATTTAATTAGAGTTTTTCCTGTATCCACTTAAATATTTTCATAAAAGTGATCATATATTTCTTTAGAAGTCGTGATGAGAGGAAAAAAGATGATCGTTCTCGCAAAAGAGATTATGATCGAAACCCTCCTCGAAGAGATTCATACAGAGACCGGTACAATAGAAGACGAGGGCGAAGTCGCAGTTACAGCAGGAGTCGGAGTCGAAGTTGGAGTAAAGAGAGGCTTCGTGACAGGGATAGAGATAGAAGCAGGACTAGAAGCAGAAGCAGGACCCGAAGCAGGGGTAAATAATCCACATATATGTGTATTTTGGTTGGCACTTTCATTGTGAAAAAAATCCTGTATTTGAGGGTTTTAAAAATTGTTTTAATTTTGTCAGTGTTATCTTTATTTTTTTCTATTTTGATGTATTTTGTGGGTCCAAGTGAATACTTTTTAAAAATTTCTTTAAAAATTTTTATTTTATACAAATTAAAGCTACAATGAATTACCACTGTACACCCATCAGAATGATTGAAATTAAAAAGACTTGCTTTACCCAGTGTTGGTGAGGATGGAGATAAGCTGGAACTCTTTGGAAAACACTTGAACAGTATCTTAAAAATGTTAAGCGTGTACCTACCAAATGATCCAGTCAGTCATTCCACTCCTAGGTGTTTACTTAAAAGAAATGAAAGTGTATTTCCACACAAAGACATACACAGATGGTCATGGCAGCTTCATTTGTTATAGCCAAAAGCTAGAAACAATCCAAACGTCCATCAACAGGTGAATAGATGAACAAATTATGGTATATCCATAGAATGGATAAAAAGGAAAGAACTATTGGTACATGCAGGAAAATGCATGAATCTCAAAATAATTATGCTGATTGAAAGAAGCCACACAAAAAAGTGTGTGTGTGTGTGTGTGTGTGTGTGTGTGAGAGAGAGAGAGAGAGAGACAGACAGACAGACAGACAGACAGACATAGAATTTTAGAAAATGCAGACTAATCTATGATGACAGAAAACAACTCAGTGGTTGCCTGGGATAAAGTAAAGGAGAGATGGATCATAAAAGGGAACAAGGATACTTTTGGGGGGTGATGAGTATGTACAGTATATACCTTATTTTGATTGTGATGTTTGGTTTCACAGGTGTATACATCGATCAAAATTCATTAAATTGTACATTTTAAGTATGTTCAGTTTATCATATATCAGACCTCAAAACTATGAAAACAGTTAAAAATTTTCATTTCAGATGTGTGAGTTTACAGGAGTGTCTCATTTCCAACATGCATATTTTTCTTTCAATGTGTATTATTGAAAGGGATATATTGCAGGCAGTAGAACAGCTAAACACCTTAAGAGTAAAACACCTTTACTCAACTTAGATTTTTACTACCCTTGCGACCTTTATTGTATAGTTACTTTTAGTCTTTAGGAAATAATATTTATGGCTTTTGTATAAGCCCTGTATTTCTCTGTTACTCTTAGAGTTTTTCCCCGCCCCGTAATCTAGGTGTATTAGGCCTTTCTGCACATTGCTTCACTTAACTGATCTCCTTAATGTCTTTTCTCTTTCCTTGGTAAATTTTCTTTTCTTGGCCCAGTTAATTTCTTTGTGTTTATTATGTACTCCTTTTTCTTCCTCTTTACACATCCATTCTCATCTTCAACAAATAGTGTTCAGTGTATAAAGCCATGCTAGGACCTTTGAATGGATGACAACTAAATATTCACCACAGAAAAAATAACCATACTTGTATATTTTGTTTTGTTGGCTAAAGTTATGCATACTAAGATTGCAATGAAGAAAATTTAAAAATTCTCTGCTAAGTAAAGCTCAAAGAAAAATCTCATTAAGTACAACAAGTTTATGTGTGGTTTTTTAGTTTAGGTCATATTGAAAAGAAATTGCTTATCTTGGAACATTGTATATACATTGAATAGTTTTTAAAAGGAGGATTGTGTAAAATTTGAACTTTTTCTCTATGTTTAGCAAAAATATTGGGTTGGCCAAAAGGTTCATTTGGGTTTTTCCATAACGTCTTATGGAAAAACCCAAACGAACCTTTTGGCGAACCTAATATCTATTTCTTAGCTTGGGGACATGTGTGTTTTTTGTTTTTTTGTTTAATAGAGTGTAGTTTTATAAGTCATTTATATTTTATTGCAGAAAGGGATCTGGTAAAACCTAAATATGACCTGGATAGAGCAGATGCATTAGAAAACAATTATACTCCAGTCTCTTCGGTACCTAATATTTCATCTGGCCACTACCCTGTACCTACTTTGAGCAGCACTATTACAGTAATTGCTCCTACTCATCATGGTAATAATACTACCGAAAGTTGGTCTGAATTTCATGAAGACCAAGTGGACCATAACTCGTATGTAAGACCACCAATGCCAAAGAAACGGTGTAGAGACTATGATGGTAAGCCTGTCAACTATTTCATGAGGTATCGAATTAATATTTCCAGCTGAGTAACTTCTGTAAATTTAGGTTATACACGCTCAAAGACTTAACCTATTGGAAATAGTGGGAAATTAGTTTTAAGCACTTCATGAATTCCTCAGTATATTACTGAAGTCTTCATTAGTCACCACTGACTATTGAATATTAATTTAAATAGTGTTTATTTGCACCAAGTCTTAACATATTTTTGGAATTTGCCAAACAAGAGTAATATCTACTGAGTAACCTACCAGGGAATTGGCTACTGAAACATTCTTGACAAAACTTACTTCTTTAGAAATCAGTGGTTATTAGAATGTTAGTAAAACCTAGAAATGTGAATATCACCTATATAAGCATTTTATAAATGAAGACTCTTTAAGATTTTACTGTAAAAGTTTTGTAAACTGTATTAAAGCTGTATCATGTTGCTAGCTGTGTATACTCATTTTAATTTGGTAATATTTTTTAGTGGGTATGTTAGCTATATTTTCACTTAATATATATTTTATATTACTGGAAATGAGTAGATAGCTCTTGTGATATGGTTACTTATATTTGCCCAGTATTAAAAATATTCCTATTTTTAAATATCTCCACTTTTTTTAACTTAGAGAAAATGTATATGTCCAGCGGTTTTCATATTTCTTTCTAATTGTTCTTCCTCACAGAAAAGGGTTTCTGTATGAGAGGAGACATGTGCCCTTTTGATCATGGAAGTGACCCGGTAGTTGTAGAAGATGTCAATCTTCCTGGTATGCTGCCTTTCCCAGCACAGCCTCCTGTTGTTGAAGGACCACCTCCTCCTGGACTCCCTCCACCACCACCAATTCTTACACCCCCACCTGTGAATCTGAGACCCCCAGTGCCACCGCCAGGCCCATTACCACCGAGTCTACCACCTGTCACAGGTAAGTAAATATGTTTGCCTATGCTTATTATCTATCCATTCATAGTCTTTTATAAAAGTTGATAGTTTGATGCTTGATTTTGTTAAAAGTATCTAAAGTAATCCTATAGATGCCTGTTAGGAACTAAGAGTAAGATGCTCCCATCTGGAATATACTCCTTATTTTTCAGGCTGTGCCAAACCTATGGTTTACTGTGGTTTAGGGTGGCCCTGAATTATGCATGTTACTGATGAATCCCAGCTGTCTGTAGTCCTTTATAGCTTAAGACAAACCTGTTTTGGAATACATTAAATGAATATTTTACCCTGAAAAACTCATATAGTTGTAAGAGCTTGGTGTTTGTAGATATTATAATTTGCTAAAGGAGAATATCACGTTTGGATATACAATAACTTATTTTATTTGTTTGCTTTCAGATGATATTTCTTATTCTTTGGTTTTGACAGGACCACCACCTCCACTTCCTCCTTTGCAACCATCTGGCATGGATGCTCCCCCAAACTCTGCGACCAGCTCTGTTCCTACTGTGGTAACAACTGGCATCCATCACCAGCCTCCTCCTGCTCCACCCTCTCTTTTTACTGCAGGTGCGGTTTTGGCCCTCTCTGTATTAATAATGTAGTATAGTTTAGAGAAGAGTTTTAGGTGAGGAATTTAAAAATGTCTAGAGAGTGAATTGCTCTATCAAGTCTGTTTTTCTTACTAAAATTATATGGAATAAAATGTAGACATGGTGAATGCACATTAAATATAAGTTCTCAGTTACACTTTTTAAAAAACTAAGTTTTTAATAACATTTAATTTTTATAAGACTATTTTTAAAAATACATATGCATGTTAGTTATGAATTAGTAATATGTTACGTAGTTGACTTTTTCTATTATCAGTATAAAAAAATTACCAAGAGGAGTTTTATAATTGTTTTTTAATTGCAGTTTTTGTATTACCAGATACATATGACACAGATGGCTACAATCCTGAAGCCCCGAGCATAACAAACACTTCCAGACCAATGTATCGACACAGAGTGCATGCACAAAGGCCTAACTTGATAGGACTAACATCAGGGGATATGGATTTGCCACCCAGAGGTACTATGATGAATCTTTTCTTCTTATCATTTTCATAATATCAAGAGTGGCAAAGCATTTGAAAAGAACAGTCGGTCCTGTGTTTATTGGAGTTGAGTAAGGGATGATGCTTATGTTTGTTCCTTGGATCCTTTGGTCTCACATGAGAGAGAAGGTAATGTGTGGTACCCTATTTGTGGTGTTGGTGACGTTTTATTCTGTCATCCAAGGGGAAAGGAATTTCCCCAAAGTCCTTATTTTCTAGCTTTTTGGGGGTATATGCTATCATTTGCAGTCTTAATTGGTTCATTTAAACTCTTTAAGAATAATGCTTTAATTCCTAAAGATAAATTCTTTTGTAGTTTAGATCATGAAATTAGCTGTACAAATTTAATGCTTGATACATATTTTATTTTTGTTTGCTTTTGACATGTTAGAATTTGATACTGGTTTGCTTATAATACTTTAAGCAAAAAGAATTATATTTTAGAAAGTGACTTGTTAGCTTTTAAAATTTTCTTAGAGGAGACAGACTTTTTGGTATAATTTCTAAATGGGAGAAGAATATAGAATTTAGACTGGTCCACAAGCCAGGGCAGGAAAAGTGCTATACAGAGGTGCAAACTGATACAAAGGTTCAGAGGAGGGAGAGTTCACATTAATTTGAAAGATGGAGCAATGTTGTCAGACATTATAGAAAATATTATACAGGCCAATAAAAATATATCTTTTTTCCTAACTACTTCAACTAACTTTTAAATCCCATTTTCTTTCCAATCTTTCCTTGCCATCTTTTATTTCTAGTAAAAAAAAAAAAAAAGAAAAGTCATGCATTGTCAGTTGTGAATAAAAGTCCAACTTGTTTAAATAAGTAACAGTCTGTACCTAATGTGGTTTAGTAAACTTGTGTTTACTTACACTTTGCACTTTTTTTGTTTGTTCATTAGAAACTGTCAGATTCTGAGCATCTACTTTGAGTGTTCAGAGAACTTTCTGTGGTGGAGGACTGAGGAACATTTTAATTTCTATCCTGTGAGATCACAGGACAACATTTCATGTGGATGTCCCTTTCCCCCCACACCTTTTAAAGTCTCTTTGAGGCATTCTAATGACTTTCATTAATAACAGCAATAGAAAAAAGGTTTCTTAACAATTTTTATGTAAGGGAAATAAGATTGTTTGTAATTGAAAAGTAGCCACTTAAGATTATGGCTGTTCATGGTATTTACTCATCCCTTGAGTGTCTCCTACCTGACTAGTTCAGAGAAAAACCCTTCCTTCTTTGGGTCACTACTTAGCACTCATTTTCTTTTCATTATACCAGTATTCCTTGCTCTTGCTGGAACCATCAAATCATCTCATTCTTACCTTGCTGCTTTGGAGTGGCATAAATGTATGCCACTATAGATCAACATTTATTAGATCCATCCCAAATCTAGGACAGTTTTTTGCTGGTGATTGAGAGAAGACAGAAGGATCAAACCCCTTGCACATAAATCTTACCATATAGAAGTTGGAATTGTGGTAATTTCAGCTCCACATGCATGTAGTTACAAGTTATAGGAAATGGCTCTATTGAGATATAAATGTCTGGTATGCCTACTTAGAAATTTGAATGCCTTTTCTTATAGAATCATTATACATAATGATTATTTTATTACTTTTTAAATTTCTTTAGGTACATCATGTACTATTTCTGTAAGCTGGTTTAGGAATATATTTTCCATTAATAACATTGTTTTTATGTACCAGACAACTGATTTAGCAAACCATTTAAATTGAGGATTACCTATACTTCTGGTTGCCTTATCTTTTTTCAGTCCTCCTCCCTTCAAAATGTTCTCATCTATTGCCCATTTGGTTTGAAATTTACTGGCCTGGATTGGGACATATACATAATTAAAAGTTTATAATATTGTTCATTATATAATTATTATACATTTCTAATAGCCTATAGATGGCCTCATTTACATTTGTCACAGACTATTATGTGATAACTATATTTTTATGCTTCATACTTTCAACTTTATAGGAAATTATTGTTATTAAACAAATGAAAAAACTTTAGGCCTTTTGATGCCTTGGAATCAAAAAAGTGATAATTGTACTTTCTAGATTTCTAAGGCAGTGGAGAACTTGATAGACACTCCCTTGACTGGATATAGATAGGTAGGAAGAAGGGCTAAGTGGTTTTTCATTTGCCATCAACAAAACCAGTGCTGAAAACGTTAAGCAGAAAAACAATTTATTAAAAAGATATCAGGGGAAAACACAGTAAATACAACTAATAGACACATTTACTAATTGTATATCAAGAGGAACTTGCTTCTGTGTGTTTAGCACTCCTTTTAAATAAATAACAGTGAAAGAGAATATGAGTGAGAGAATACAGATGAGTTGGAGCAAACACATCACTGCCTTTCTTGGTGAACCTTCAGATAAAGAATATATTAAAGTACAAAAGGATATTGGATAGCTCAAAGACTCTTTAAAAGGGCTAGTGAACATATTTGGGAGGCAGGAATAGGCCAGAAATTATGTTGCAGAACTGGTCCTGTGAAGATACCACTCGGCAAAGAAACTACAACTTGCACTGTGAATGCCAGCAATGCCAGATACTGGATGTTTCCACCTGATCTGCTGTAGAGATGTGGGATAAGTCAGAGTTAGCCGGAAAAAGGGGGTCAATAAAGCACATATATCCTGTGCTACTTTTGTGAAACTGGAAGATCTTTTTGATTAGGAACAGAGGGAGTAAGGGATATGGGAACGGGGAGGTAGGAGGCCAATTAAAGGCGTTTGAAAAATTCTAGAAAAGAGATGATAAGTAGCTAGACTAGGGTAGTAACAGTGGGAAGTAAGAGATTTAAGTTTAGTGGAAAGAGTTGACAACACCTTTAATTTATTGAATTTGGGGACTTAGAATGGGGGTAATGGAGAAGGTGAAATGAAAGACACCAGGTTTCTGTTTTGGATAATTGGGCAGATGATAATATCATTCATTGAGAGGAAGAACAGATTTGGTAGGAGGATCTCCTGCATGGAGACTATAGTGGTAGCCATAAGAGAGATTGTGCTGAAACAGATCCTAAGTTCTTTTGGTTAGTTATATGTTTAGAAATACTCAGAATAGGAGTTATATAACCAATTTATCCATCTTTTAAGAAAGGAGTTTTAAAATATATTTTTTCCGTGTGGACTAATGTTAGCATGTTTTAAACTTTGGCGTCATTTGGGAATAACAGGTTAAATGTAGTTTTGTGTTTGTCAAACTCCATCTAAGTGTATGTAAAATGTTGAAAGTAGCACATATTTACAGCTCTTTTGCACTGCATTTCAATGTTGAATATTTACCTTTTTTAATTTAACATGATTTTATTTTGTTAATATGCTGATGTTTAAATAAGCAACTCATTTCAGTCACAACTCCAAGTTATTGAGTCTTAGGATTACTAGACTAGTGTTAAATTTTAAATCTTGTAGATTGTGCATTTAATTTCAAAACTATAAACTCAGCCCCAAGATGATTTATTTATTATTAATTTGACATATGAGAATTACTGATTATTGTTCAGTTAAGCGTGAAAGGAATTCAAAATAAGTTAAAATCCCTTAGATGACTGTATTTAGATGTACTTATATTTCTATTTCTTCTAAAATGTATATTTGGACAAAAATCCAGAACTTTGTTTTTAATGCAGATTTAAGGAGGTGGCTACGATTAACAGAAAATATTAATCTATGCTTTCTTTTCTTTTGTTTCAAACAGAAAAGCCTCCTAATAAAAGCAGTATGAGGATAGTAGTGGATTCAGAGTCAAGGAAAAGAACCATTGGTTCTGGGGAGCCTGGAGTTCCTACAAAGAAGACTTGGTTTGATAAGTAAGCTGGCAGGGGAAATTGAGGAATTTTATTATGCAGTGATCTTTAGGATCGTTGCAGTTATTATTGTGACAGTATAGTGGTCTCTTTCAAAATAAAATTTATTCTGTAGGCAGTCCCCAACTAAAGTGTATAGTATTTGTTTTCTAAAAATATGTAAGTTAGTAGTCTGGTACTTGGAAGGTACTTTCTTATAGAAATGGTGTGGTGGTTGAGCACATTATTTTTCCTATTTGTACCTCCCCCTACCTTCACAAAAACAACAACAACCCACCCCTTAATTTAGCAATGTTGTTGAATACTAGCTGTTTAAAGGGTAGTCATGAGCCTACTCTTAGGGAAGGAAGGAAGGGTTAGGTATGAGAGGAGACTTTGCATGTGGGCAGTTCCTGTTAGGAGTTAGAAAGCAGCCTTTGTGGGGGTAGGGGAGGCTGTGTGTTTGATGATTCATTTGCATGTTTGAGGAAAGACTGGGATCACACTTTTAGAGCTTTAACATATGTTTAATAATGGATAATTTCTAGTTCTGTTTCTGCCTTTAATTCTGTGATTTAGGGCAAGCAATGTAACCTCCCTGGGCCACAGTTTTGACCCCCTTTCTTCAAGTGTCAAACGTATGGTCTACAATTCTGACTTTTTTTTTTTAATTGGAAGGAGGTCGAGACAGTCATTTCTTGCTTTTAATCAATGTTTTGAAGTAGGAAATATCTCAATAAGTTAGCCTTTGTAGAAATGGCAAAGGTTATATAGGCAAATTGACTGAAAGAGGGTGCTAAGAACTTTTCTGCTAAGAATTTTAAGTAGGAGTGGAATAGAAGTGAAAAGGAACAAATGATGAGGAAGAAACCTTCTCATTTGGCTTCCATGAAAGATAATGAACACTACTCATTTGGAAACTTCATTTTTTGAGGGAAAAAAAAATTCCCTTTATCAACTAGCAATTTCAATTTTGAAAAAAAAATTGAACTTAAGTTGCAAAACTTTATTCCTTTGTACTTGATAGGGATCAGGATTTATAAATGAATGTATTAATTAACTTGATTTTTGTTACAGGCCAAATTTTAATAGAACAAACAGCCCAGGCTTCCAGAAAAAGGTTCAGTTTGGAAATGAAAATACCAAACTTGAACTTAGAAAAGTTCCTCCAGAATTAAATAATATCAGCAAACTTAATGAGCATTTTAGTCGATTTGGAACCTTGGTTAACTTACAGGTAAGAGCTTTGAAGTGATTCTGTTGTCTCTGCTTAATTATCTAGAGAGGGAATCTTAATATAGTAAGAAAAATAGTTTTATAAGAAAATATTATGGAAACTTTGGTAATATTCTAAGTTTAGAAAATTGGATATGAAGTGAAACTTTTTATTTTAGGAAAATGTGATTTTGAATAACTATTTACTTTCAAAAGGCAGGAGACTTGATTGATCTTATTATACACTTTTTACCTAATAGAGATGATCATAAAATTACAGCAAAGTTAAATAACCACAGTGGTAAAATCTAATATTAAAGTAGTTTTCATTTCCTTAGTTTCACATTAGCAGAATGCTTCAGTCAGATTTATTTTTGCTGCCGCTATGGTGGGACACATTTAATAGATACTTTGGGGGCCCAGATACCAGGTAATCCATAATCAGTTTAAACATTTACTTTTTACTCTTCCACTTTTGAACATCTTTTAAGATAAATATCAGTGTAATTTGTATTTGATTTCCCCTAAAATTAGACCTTGGCTTAGCTATATGTTACTTGTGAGGTTATTTAGTATTGAGTTTACATTATGTAATATGTTGAAAGTTCAAATAATGTTGGGCTTCTTCTCCAGTTTGTGCAGCATTCTTTTGAACTAAATTATTTCCCATAATTGGATAAGAATAAATGTTAGAGAGTACAGCTTAAGTTGATATTTGGAAAAATTTGTTTTCTTTCCATTTAAAAAATAATATTATAAAAGTAATAGATGAGGGACTTCTCTGGTGGTGCAGTGGTTAAGAATCCACCTGCCAATGCATAGGACACGGGTTTGATCCCTGGTCCAGGAAGATCCCACATGCCGCGGAGCAACTAAGCCCGTGTGCCACAACTACTGAGCCTGCGCTCTAGAGCCCACGAGCCACAACTACTGAGCCCGCGTGCCTAGAGCACGTGCTCCGCAACAAGAGAAGCCACCGCAATGAGAAGCCTGCGCACTGCAACGAAGAGTAGCCCTCGCTCGCCGCAGCTAGAGAAAGCCCTCAGGCAGCAACGAAAACCCAACGCAGCCAAATCAGTCAGTCAGTCAATCCCTAAAATGAAAAGAAAGTTCACCAAAAAAGAGTGGGGCAGTAGAGATTTACATAGAATTTAAAGAAAATGTGTTCAGCTCTCTGTCTCTTCCATTCTTCTTCTCATATATACCCATAATATTATTACTTTATTGGTAACAATTTACCTTGTGTTATTTTGGATTTGTTGTTTTGTATTTCTGTGAGTATGTATCTACCTATAAATCAGTATGCAAACTTAAAAATATGTACATATTTAAAAGTATGTGGGTCTCTAGTATACATATCACCCTGTAGTTATTTACTGCATCTTGAATATCTCTAAATATCTTTTTATGGCAATTCGATTTATCTAGCACGTTTAGATCTAGACTTTAAAAAGTTCTTTTCCTTACACAGTTAACTACATTAGTAATATTAAATTTAAAGAAGTTTAAAGCTGAGGGTTAAAACATGGTATCTCACCATTGCTTCAACTTGTATTTCCTCAGTTACTGGTGAGATTGGTATCTTATCTCTGTACAGGTCCTACTGCTGTATCTGTATACTACCTGCATTATTATTTATAAAATACATACATTTGAAAGTTAGTTTAAAAAAACCCTTTAGCTTTATCCTAATATAACTGCCCCCCCCTCTGTTTTACATGAATTACTATTTAATTCTTAACAACTACTGAGTGGGTATTGTTATCTGGAGCGAGGTTGCTTGATTCAGGGTCTGTGTGCTTAATCCTTATTTTGTATTGCTTTGCATCACCAGTAGTTTATATAACATACTTCGGAAAGTACTGGTATTATTGAAAGAACAGGAAATTGAACACTAAAAAGCCCTGGATCTACTACTTACTCATTGTATGGATCTACAGAATCACGCACTCTTTGAATCTTAGTTTCCTTATGTGTAAAATGTGATTGTTGCTATTGTTTTGTAGATCTTACTCCCCCTGCCCACCTTAAATTTTCTTACGCTCTTGGAAATATTTTTGTGAGGGTTACCAATTTGGAAAATTTTGCAGATGGATTTTTCTATGATTTTCAATTAGAGATCACTCCTTTCAAAGTAGTTTACTGACTTTTTCTGACTCTGGGGATCTAAGTCATGTCACTCAGTGACATAAGGATTATTTCTCATAGCCTTAATATTGGGGGTAAAAAGTGAAACATTCTAATGCTTGTATTTAACATTTGTGCAGTGAGCATTCTCTACCAAGTGTTATATAGAGGAGGCTCTGATTCCACTCTGAACGGTCCTCAGTTACCATTTCTTCTGGAGTGAAAGTAGGCTACGGTAATAATCTAGATATAAGGAAGTGTAAAGGTAGACTCCTACTTGGAGGACCAATATTTCATTTCTTGGGGAATTTTACTGTATAAAGCAATAGATTCATTCGCAAATTCACTGTGCTTAATATTTTAAATTTTAGGTTGCCTATAATGGTGATCCTGAAGGTGCCCTTATCCAATTTGCAACATATGAAGAAGCAAAGAAAGCAATATCAAGTACAGAAGCAGTGCTAAATAATCGCTTTATTAAGGTTTATTGGCACAGAGAAGGAAGCACCCAGCAGTTACAAACTACTTCTCCAAAAGTAAGAGAGAAATTTGTGTGAAATTAAATGCTTTTCTTGGAACGCTCTTGGCACAGTGTTTTTTTTTGTTTTTTGTTTTTGTTTTTTTGCGGTACGCAGGCCTCTCACTGTTGTGGCCTCTCCCGCTGCGGAGCACAGGCTCCAGACGCGCAGGCTCAGCGGCCATGTCTCACGGGCCCAGCCGCTCTGCGGCATGTGGGATCCTCCCGGACCGGGGCATGAACCCGTGTCCCCTGCATCGGCAGGCGGACTCTCAACCACCGCGCCACCAGGGAAGCCCTTGGCACAGTGTTTTTTAAAAGCAACTTCTCTAACCTGTTCTCTCATTTTATTATGACATTAATCCCTAGTTTAGATAATTATAAGATGATATGTGTAAAGCCTATAGAACAGTCCCTGTTACATGGGAGATACTCCAGTACATGGTAGCTGTGTGTATTCTAGAAACTCAGACTGTGGGTTCATATTGGAAATCCTTCCTTCGCTCTCTTTTTCTCTCTTTCAATCAGTGAGCCAATGAATATGTAAAGTTTAATTGTTTGCAGATGTGTACTACAGCAGTTTGTTTTTCTGTTTATCTTTCTTCTGTTAACTAAAAAAAGAGACAAGATAGTGAAGGTCAGATTTTGATTTTTTTCCTCTACTTTGTAAATATTTTATGCATCTGTATACATGCATGAAGGAATTTGGGAGGTGGTTAGGTTTTGATTATAAGCTGCACTTTTAAAACTTTCTCTGCATGGGCAACTTAGTAACAAAATAACAAAGGTTACCTTCCATGCTCATGAACTAATCAACTTGTTTAACATGTTTTTCTTGTTCTGAGGTAATGCAGCCTTTAGTCCAGCAGCCCATTTTGCCTGTTGTGAAGCAGTCAGTCAAAGAGCGGTTGGGTCCGGTACCTTCAAGTACTGTTGAACCAGCAGAAGCCCAGAGTGCCAGTTCAGAACTTCCTCAGGTAAACGAAAAGTCTTACTGTGCCTGTCCTGTAATAGGTTCTCAGTCAATTAGTTTCCCTTGGTGATTTGAATTATAATTAATTGTGTGTCTGTATATATATATATATATATATATGTATTATATATACGTTTTATGCAGAAATATGATTGTCTATTCGTATTTGAACACCACTTGTAAAATTTTTTTTTACCATTACCATAACGTTTTCACAGTCTACTTTTCCTATAGTATTTGAATCTTAAATTCTTTCGTATAGCTAATACTTATTTATGAGAATAAATACTCTTTCACTTTGTAGAGGAGACATTTTCCAGCAAAACTGTCTAAAATGTAAAGTTTTAGTACATTAAATCTTATTTTTCCCATCATCTTTTACTTAACTAGAATGTTGTTCCAGAGATAATTATGCAGTAGACTAAACTGAAAGCTTTTGGAAAGGGAAGGCTTAAACCTTGAAGTTACTTATGCAGCTCTCTCAGAACTTTGCATCACTTATTCCTGACTCTCAAATTCTCTTCTCCACATGCCATTCCCTTCCCTCCCTTCCACACTTGAGTGGCACTTTCTTGTTTCTGCACCCTCAGTCTCTTATGTTTCAATATTTGCTGTGTGAAATAGTTAGGATGTCGTATCCTACTTAGCTAATGGATGCCACCTTGTTAAAATAAGTCTTTGTAGATAATTCCTGAAGAGTAAGATATTGAGATTTTACAAAAACATGCAGAATGTAAATTAGTAAATTATTAGGTACTAAAAAAAAACTCCTCCAATCCTGCTATCCCAAATCATCACCAAATACAGTGTATTTGGCTATAAAACAAACGTAATTTAGGAAAGAATGGCATTTGTTTTAAGCTCACAAAGCAGGCATGTATTTTAACTACTCAGATCTAATATTTAGAATGTACAAACTTTCTACTTGTCAACATAGGATTCTAAGAATGTATGGTTCTGTATCACTGGAGGGGACTTTAGCAACCACCTGGTTCAAATCTCTTATTTTACATCATAATTTTCCATGATTGAGTAATACTGTATACTGTTCGTTTTTCCAAACATTTTCTTTCTGTCTCTGTCTTTGCAGAAGGCCCAAGGTTTTGTTATTAACATCAGTATACTTACAGAGTCAGTATATGTTAGTAAAATCAGAATGTTCAAAATCCCTACAGACTTATATATGTTTGGGGAAACACTGAATATGTCCATTTTAATTTTTTTAGAATGTAACTAAGTTATCTGTGAAGGACAGGTTGGGTTTTGTATCAAAGCCATCTGTTTCAGCAACTGAAAAGGTAAGAAGAATAGCATGATGTGTGTGTCTTGGCTTCATAAATGTTTTCAGGTGGCATCTTAATTTTTTAATTTTTTTCATAGTTCCAAACTCTTGCTTCTTAATTGTATCTTTTATTCCTACCTTTTTGCTTTCCATTTGCTGAAAAAGAAAAATATTTGCCTACCTCTTTTTGCTTTTTGCATCAGCATTTTAATACTTGCTGCTCACTGTATTTCCTTATGCTCCATTCTTTTTGTTTTTATTTACTATTTTTTCTTTAGAGATATCATACATTTTAATTTGAAAACTGACAACCTTATAGAGAGGGCCATGAATTAGGAATTTTACCTGAGTTTGAGCTCTGGCTCTTCACTTACTAACTGCATGACTTTGGGCAGTGCTCTTAACCTTTCTGAACCCTTTTCCTCATCAGTAAAATGGTGATGGTAATATTTGTCTTATGGGGTTTTATGATGATTAAATAAAATCAATTATTTAAAGAGTATTTTATAAATTAGAATGATATAAATAAGTTTTTTATTTATTACAAACAGCTATTGTGTATAGCCTGACAATATAGTTAGTTATTTCTTTTTTTAAATGAGGGGAGCAAATGCTGATTAAATTGAGAACATTTTTGGACCTGTCTTATAGTTCTGTGTAGATGTGTTATTTTTTTCTGTTTAGGTATGAGTGAATGGCCCTGATCTTTAGTCTTTTTTGAGGTATGTCGAATCACAGAATATTAGAATTAGATGATCTTTCTCATTTCTTTATCCTCACCTTAAGGAAGGTAACCCCCAAATAGTTTTATGATTGACCTATACACTATGAGTTACTGAGCTAGGACTGGAATCTGGGTCTTTGATTTCTTTCTAGTCCATGGCTCCTTCCATTATGAAGATTACGTGGGAAATTGACATTATAGTTAATTAGAGCATCCCATGAAATAGCTGACCTGCTCTCTTCACTGGTTCTTCAGTATATTATTTTCCTATTTACTGTGTTAAACTTTGGCAATTCTAGAAATTTGAGTATGAATCTCATTTTGTATATCACATTTTCTTCTTGGGTACCTCAGCATTACTTTAGGCATAAAATGCCTAAAATGATTCATTATTTCCCCTATAAAGTAATTTCTCCTCCTAGCCACCCACCTCTGGAAGTGATGCCACCATTTTCCTTGTGCAGTCTAGAAGCCTTAGAGTCATTCACTTGTGTTTGTAGTCCATTTGTCTCCTTCAGTTCCCTGGCCTCTGGACTGGCATCCCCCTCCTCTAGTTTACACTGCCACCATTCTACTCTCAGACTTTTTTTTTTTTTTTTTTTTTTTTTTGCGGTACGTGGGCCCCTCACTGTCGTGGCCTCTACCGCTGCGGAGCACAGGCTCTGGACACGCAGGCTTCGCGGCCATGGCTCACAGGCCCAGCCGCTCCGCGGCATGTGGGATCTTCCCACACCGGGGCACAGAACCCACGTCCCCTGCATCAGCAGGCGGACTCTCAACCACTGCGCCACCAGGGAAGCCCCAGACTTATTTTAATGTTAACTTCGTACAGAAACTTTCATTTCCTCAGCTGAATTTGCTTGATTCATAACTCATCATACCTCAATTATTGTGGTTCTGTTACCTCTGCTTTAGTTGTTCCTTTCTACCCTAATGAGCCCTTTTCTGTTCATTGTCTCTTGCTATTTCCTGCCTCTTTTTTTTTTTTTTTGATGGTGGTTTTTCTGGAGTAATTTCCTTCTGCCTAACAGATTTCTAGTCATTCTTTTAAAGATTGAAAATCTCTCTAACCTCTACTATGAAACCTCCAGAGTTTTCCATATATGCCCCCCTCCCGAATTTGTGTGGCTTAGTCTATGCCACTAAATTTAGCAGCATCTAAATATTTACTTTGATTATTTTTATCCTCCTTGATAATAAGTAACTAAGGAATAAAATAACAATATAAGGGCTGTTACTTAGTATAGTGCTGAGCAATTCTGGTGAGGTCTACAACCCTGATTATGTGTAGGATCTGTTTATGTCAAGATTTGGATTCTGAAATTGAAGTGTACTAATTATAGCTTTTACAAAACTTTTCTAGCGTGTTTTGCTACTTGTTCTCATTATTGTTTTTTAACGTGTTTTATATAGCTTTAGATGAAAGGTGTCCAAATTTGGAATTGATAGTATAAATTTGCTAATATAGTTAGCATTAAGTATATTTGTGAAAAATCACTAATGGTAGTGGACTATTTATGAAAAAAAACCTACTCAGTAAATATTGTAAAGAATCTTCTAAGGAAAGCAATTATTTACAAGTATGTAACTTCCTGTCATCTTCAGTGAATGTGTTTACAGAATAGCATTTTGTTTTTGCTTATTCTTGGTTATTTCTGTTCCCCTAGTCCATAGGGGTTTTTACTGCATAATCCTTAGAGCTCAGTGATTCAGAGAAGTCTTAGGAAGAGTAGGAGAATGTTCCCCATCATCAAATGTTATTTCAATTTTTTTTTAAATTGAAGGCTGGGAAAAACTCAAACCTTGCATCCAAACAATACCTTTTGTCATTGTTTTTGCGGTACGCGGGCCTCTCACTGTTGTGGCCTCTCCCGTTGCGGAGCACAGGCTCCGGACGCGCAGGCTCAGCGGCCATGGCTTACGGGCGCAGCCGCTCCGTGGCATGTGGGATCTTCCTGGACTGGGGTGCGAACCCGTGTCCCCTGCATTGGCAGGGGGACTCTCAACCACTGTGCCACCGGGGAAGCCCTTTTGTCATTGTTAAAGCAAACAAGTACACAAATGTAAAATTTTATCCCCTTCCTGTAAATAGCACCCACTAAACTCTCTAGTGATTCTTTGTTATTCTAAGATTGCATGTGAGAGGGCTAAGAAAGAGGAAACTTAAAACCTAATTTTACTGCTAAATATTAAGATACTGTAATAGCTATTAAATAGGTATTGTTTGAGTAGAGTGATCAGTAAAATGATGTTTGAGTGCCTCAGCTTACTCTAGAGAGATTTATGAAGAATAAAGGTGGCACCTGCATATACCATCCTGGTTAGTTTTGTTTTTTTAAAAAACAAATTTATTTATTTATTTATTTTTGGCTGCATTGGGTCTTTCTTGCTGCACGCGGGCTTTCTCTAGTTGTGGCCAGCGGGGGCTACTCTCATTGTGGTGCACGGGCTTCTCATTGCGGTGGCTTCTCTTGTTGTGGAGCATGGGCTTCAGGCGCACAGGCTTCAGTAGTTGTGGCATGCAAGCTCAATAGTTGTGACTTGCAGGCTCTAGAGCACAGGCTCAGAGTATTGCGGCGCACGGGCTTAGTTGCTCTGCAGCATGTGGGATCTTCCCAGACCAGGGATCGAACCTGTGTCCCCTGCATTGGCAGGCAGATTCTTAACCACTGCACCACCAGGGAAGTCCATCCTGGTTAGTTTTTTAAAAAAGGTTTAGACTGTCCAAATTATCCCCGTAAAGCTCTTCTAAATTCTAAGAAGGTAAACTGACTAATCAGTTGAATATTTAATGTTCTTATATCAGTTTTAGGTATATCATACTTATGGTACAGGATGTTATTGTTCCTTAGCAGGGTTTTTTTTGGTAATCTAAAAATATATCCTGGTCCCCTTGCATGATGATAAGCTGACATCTGTACCATGGAACTTTTAAAAGGGAAATTGTGTGGCATAATTGAAGGAACATTGCATGTCATATAGAGAATTTGGCTGTTAGGTTTTAGCAGCTGACATTCTGGATGATCCTGGATAAGTCTTACTTTCTCTGTTTCCTTAACGATAAAATACAGTCATTTAAGTAACCCTTTGATTTTTAAAATTTGTATTTGTTGTGTAATTTTGCTATGTTATAAAGATTAAGGAAATGTATGATCATTTCTTTTCATAACTGTTATTGACTAATTTTAATTTTAAAAAATGGATTGGCCTCTGTCAGGATTATTCTGTGGATTACTCAGTCAGTATTATTATCAGGATTATTTTTCTTACAGAGAAATATGATTTATATAAAATTATTTGCTATGCTGAATTTTCTGGGAACCGAGCTGTTGTAGCAAAAATTGATTACTGACTTAAACATGTTTTTCTTTGATGTTAAGATATTTCTCTGCAAGATCTTCAATCCCTTTGTCTCTTTTAAGCTACTTGGTATTCTTGTAAGAAATAAAATCGTTAATTCCTGAAAATATTTGATAAACTTAATTTTAAAGTAAACTCCTGTCGTCCTCACTGGAATTCCCAGTTAAGTTTTGCTACAGAAAACACATCTGTATGCTGCTTTAAGGGAATGTCATAAGTGAACATTGAGATTTTTTGAAAGGCTGATTATTTACTTAATATAAAAGTTGACTATATGGTAATTATATATTAATAAGTTTCCTACACATAACTCCTCAGAATACTGTCTTTTTTTTTGTGGTACGTGGGCCTCTCACTGTTGTGGCCTCTCCCGTTGCGGAGCACAGGCTCCGGACGCGCAGGCTCAGTGGCCACGGCTCACGGGCCTAGCCACTCCGCGGCATGTGGAATCTTCCCGGACCAGGGCACGAACCTGCGTCCCCTGCATCGGCAGGCGGACTCTCAACCACTGCGCCACCAGGGAAGCCAGAATACTGTCTTTTTATTGCATTTAAGCAAGGCACTTCTGCTTTAGACACCTATGAGAACTAGCTTATTGGGAGTGTTGCTTTGGGGCATCCTAACTATGTTTCTTTTGTATTTGATTTTAACTTGGGCACTGGTTATTAAAAAATGATACTTGGATGACTTAATTTGTAATAACCTTCTTTTGCAGTAGGTAATTTTTACAAAATACTTCTTTTATTCTGTTTTTATCCGTGAGAAACATCTATTTTTCTTTTTTTTTTACAAGTACTAATAATAGTCATGGCTTGTAATATTTTATATAGGAAGTAAGATAAGGAGGTGTTAATGGATTATAACCTCTATTTTATTCGAGAATTGGCTTTTATCTTGGGAAGTAAGAGGTATTAGTGATGCATATTTTAACAACAAAGCGTGTGATACTTTTCAGCTCATCTTACGAATTGAAGAGAGCTTTGATACCCGACCTGACAAGTGTACTACAAGAAATGAAAATTACAAGCCAATATCTCATGAACATAAACGCAAAAATCCTAAGTAAAATGTTAGCAAATGTACAGTGATATGAGAAAGATAATACATCCTGACCAGGTAGAGTTTATTCCAGAAATGCAAGGTTGATTTAACATTTGAAAATCATTTATTTCACCATATTAACAAAATAAAGGGTTGGGAGGAGGTATGTGGTAGATGTTGGAGGGAGGGAGAAGGACCCCATGTGATTATCTTAGTAGAAAAGAAATGTGGTAAAATTATTTAGTCACATTAAGCATTCTGCAAACTAGGAATAGAAAAAAACTTCCTTAATTTTGACAAAGTATATTTGCAAAATAACAAACCCCTACAGTTAACATATTCAATGGTGAAATATTGAATACTTTCCCCCTGAGATCAGGAACAGCAAACGATGTCCACTCTTGTCACTTTTTTCCAGTAGTATAGGGCCTAACCACTACAATAAGGAAATAAAATAAAATAAATGGCATAAACATTGGAAAGGGAGAAACAGAACTGTGTTTACTCACAGATGATATATGATTGTATATGTAGAAAATCCAAAAGAATTCACAGGCGATTGGAATTAATAAGTGAATACAGTTAGGTCACTGGAAATAAGGTCAATATGTAAAAATACAGCACATGCAGAAACCATTTTGGAAAACAGAGGTGTGGTTGTTTAGAAAGACCACTATGTTTTTATTATATTCTTAGAATCGTAGCATCATCTTTTCTTTTGGGTTCATTACATTCTTCTCTTTTGTGACAACTCTATCCTCATCTTTCGAAAAATACAGATATTTCTTGTTATTCAAACTCTTACTGTCTAAACTCTGGAACCTAATAGATTCAGATAGTGAGCAATATTTGTAATCATATAGTTCACTGTTTCTAAGACATTTTATTTTCACATTTTTACACCTCTGAAATTGGGCTACATCTTATAGTTGTTGGTATTTATGATTATAATTGGCAGCCTTTTCCTTTAGTAGGGTTATATTAAATGACAGTGTGTCTCCTAGGCAGTGATATCTTAAGCTCAGTGAAATATATTAGCTGATGTTCTGTTTTTACAGAAGGAAGTTCCTGGAAAAAACAAGGAAGTAAGATGCTTGTAGCAATAAAGGAGTCTTCTTACTGTTATCATATACTTTTTTTTTTTTTTTTTTTTTTTGCGGTATGTGGGCCTCTCACCGCCGTGGCCCTTCCCATTGCGGAGCACAGGCTCCGGACGCGCAGGCCCAGCGGCCATGGCTCTCGGGCCTAGCCACCCCGCGGCACGTGGGATCTTCCTGGACCGGGGCACGAACCCGTGTCCCCTGCATCGGCAGGCGGACTCTCAACCACTGCGCCACCAGGGAAGCCCTATCATATACTTTTATTATTCACCTTGCAACAGCAATCCTTAGTGTGATATCTGGTGTTAATAACAGTACTTGGAAAGGGAGTGTTCCCTACTCACTGAAATTGGAGAAATGCTGAATTAAACAAATTATATAGGTTTCTTTACTTCTGGCTTTCTCACAGCTCTTACGATAATATACATTTTGAAACTAGAAAGTAGGGTTATGATATTGTTTCCAACTTTATTTGAGTATAGAAATCCTGTTTTGGTCACAACTGTTCTACTTGTTATGGAACCATCATGACGAAAACAGTTTATAAACACTCAGTCACTTTCTTATGCAGATTATCTTACGTTTCTCCCTTTATAAAGTTATTATCTCACCCTATATAATCATACAGTTTGACATTGTATGGTGTGGTAAGGTAGCATGGAATAACTTTTCCTCTAGAGTTACAGAGAATGTGACAAGTTAGACTATGAACTAAATCTGTGTCTACTTTATATTTTACTGAATGCAACGATTTCATACTTGTTAGTGATATCTTAAGTATTTTCATTATTGAAGAAAATTATCAAAGTTTGATACACATCAACTGTTGTAAAGAACCTTTATTTTTAAACGTCAGCTGTGCTATATGGAACTAGTGTAATTACAGTATTCTAGGTTTTTATTTCATTTAGAGGCTAAGACATTCTTGGATACTTAGAATAGTGATGAGTTGCCTACGCTTTGTGATGTTCCGTAATCTAATTTCATGATAAAAGATTAGAAAGTATTGTCCAGATTGCTACTTCTCTGATATACCCAGTTATTTACATTTTAGTACCGAGAAAGTAGGGCTCTTTTTCTCATTGATACTCTTCTATTTATGTAGTTCTTCTAACCTCTTTTAGGTCATGAACTCCTTTAAGACTTTGGAAACTATGTTTTTTCCTCTGGGAAGTTACACTCTTCACACACATGGTTTCATGTTTAGATTTTATAGCATTCATAGCTCTCTTTGAAGGGATCTCTAAACTCCTTTCCAAGAACCAGTAACCAACCACTCTTTGGAACCTACAACTTTCTGCTTTCGGAGGATAAAAAAAGGCAGCCTATACACTTTAATTTTCTTAAATTGACCTTTGTGTGGAAAATATTATCCACTCTGATCTACCATCATTTCATTTTAACTTGGTGCAAAAGTGTTTATTGAGTATTTGCTGTGTGCCCCGGTGCTGTTCTAGGCCCTGAAGGTAAAGCAGTGAACCAAGCAAAAAAATCCCTACCCTCATGGAATGAATTTTTGGGTTTGTGAGGACATTAGGCACCATCAGGTTGAACTTCTTATTTTATGAGCCAACTGAGGCCCAAGAAGGTACCTGAATTTACCCATTGTCTCATAATTAGTTGGTAGTAAGGTTTAGGTACTAGAAGAAGCACAAAGAGGAGAAAGACATGTTATTTTTGTTTCAGGGCTCTTACAGTGAAGATAGGGAGAGAGATATAAAATAAATTAATATGTCATCAGGTCATTTTTACTAAATATTTTAATAGGAATAATATTTCATCAAAGGACCTAGGTAGAAGAAATAAATGATTAGAGCTTTGTGGAGGTCTGGAGTGGTTGTGCTGAACCTGAGCTGAGTTTAAGGGAATAAGGTCACTTAAAGTAGGAGCAGTGCTAGCAAAGGAATGGAGATAGAAAGCAATAAGGTTAATTTCAGAAATGTAAATTACAAATGATCATTTTAAATTGTTTGCAGGACAGTGTCTGATTTCCTCCTGTGCTGTGTTCTTGTGTACAGTTTTTGCTTTAGTCACTAGGAATACTAGTAATGTATTCAACAACTAATATTTTCTCAGTGATACAGTAATGGCAGTGTTTTTTATTGATTTGAAGTTTCTGTATGTTTGCTTTTTGCTTTTCTTCTAAAGGTATATGGTGTTAATTAAAAATTTTTTTACTTTATAGTTTATCCCTCACTCATACCCTTTCTTTCAAATCACTAAGGTGACTTAGTTATTACAAATATATAATACTTTTAGTTCAGTGTGGTAGATTTTGACAGGAGTGCTTTAGAGTTCTGAAGGAAATAGTACTCAGGAAATCATGAATGCTTGATACATTTTTTGAGAAATTGAATTTGTATTGGTAGGTGTTGTCTACATCTACTGGCCTAACAAAAACGGTGTATAATCCAGCTGCTTTGAAGGCTGCACAAAAAACCTTACTTGTTTCCACCTCTGCAGTTGATAATAATGAAGCACAGAAAAAAAAACAGGTAAGTATAGTAGTGTACAGAATTTGCAGGTCGGGAAGCTTTTCTGCATGTATGTGTTTTTTCAGTGCTTATCATAAAATAGAGCTAAAAGAAAGGTATATGTTGGCTGCCACTGAACTTTTATTTTCCCTAGTATATTAGTAAATATTAATTTTCATCTTGGAATGAAAGGCTCTCCTGATTGATTTTTGAAACTTGTGTACTTATTTAAGCTTTACATAGGAAAACTTTGCATTTCATTTTTGTTGCCAAGCTTCTTCAATTACAACCAGTTCTGTCTTCTTGGGTAATTTCATTTATTGGAAAGGTACATGGTAAATATTCTAATAATATTTTTGATCCCTTCTCTAGGAGGCACTGAAACTTCAGCAGGATGTAAGGAAAAGAAAACAAGAAATTTTAGAAAAGCACATTGAAACACAGAAGGTAAAATATTAAAGTTAGATTTGGCAAAATATATTTATAAGTGTCATAATTTTTAGTGAATTTAATCTTACACTCTATAGATAGTCCTGAGAAACGTATTTACTGTAATTGATAATGGTAAAACTGAAATATTTATCAACAGTAATGTATATATTAATTGATAAAATGTTGGTGATGAAGTATATTACATTGTGTAATATACATTGCACAGTGGACTGGGAAATGGATTAGTTTAAATGGAGCTATGACTATCAACTTGAAATGAAAATAAGGAATATTTATCCAGGTATGTTGCTGCACAGTAGTTCAATAGATAGTAAATGGAACCTTTTTCTCATTGTTGACATATGTACCTTTCTTTAATTGGCTTGTGATCCTCTAGTCCTATGTTGTCTGGTACAGCAGCTAAGAGCCACATCTGACTATCAGGTACTTGAAATGTGTCTAATCCAAATTGAGATGTGCTGTAAGTGTAAAATACATACCAGATTTCAAGCACATAGTATGAAGAAAAATGGTAAAACATCCCAGTAGTTTTTGTTGAAATGTTACTTTTGATAAAATGAGTTAAATAGAATATGTATTTAATTAACTTTAATGTATCTCTTTTATCTTTGTAAGGTGGCTGCTAGAAAATTAAAAATTATGTGGCTTGCAGTATTTCTTTTGTACAGTGTTGCTCTAGTTATGGCATTTAGTGTCAGTTCTTGATTATGTCTGGTAATAAAAGTTATGACACTTGAAAATATTGAAAATACACAAACTTTTTACCTTTTGGTTTAAAATGTATGTCTTTTCTAATTTAAATTTGTATGTACTTGATAAAGAGACATCACAATGCTTTACACCCAAAACTGAAACCATCTTGACTCAGAGAACCTATAATACTTTGTGATGTCTTCTCCATATTACCATGTTTATCTTCTTACTTCCTATCTATGTTGGGCATATTGTTCTTAGCCTAGCCAGTTACTGTTCCCTCTGACAAAGAAAGTAGGTAACTAAATATGCCATTTTTCTAATATCTCATATGGAGGGAAACCGTAAAACTTTTCCTCTGATTCTTTCTGGGTTACGGACTATGTTTGGAGTGGGAATACTTAGGATCAGTAATATCAGCAAGTGGATTAGAAAGTAAGATTGTTGCTATTTCAAAATGACAACTTTTCAGGGATTGAATTAAATTTCTTGTGGTTGTATGCTTTGAACTTATGTTCTAAGAGACTTAAGTAGTAATATAGTTCTTCACAACGTAAACCAAGATTAAGACTTGAATTGAGATAGTTAGCATCACCAATCTGCTCTTCTGCTATCTCAGTGATTGTAAGCCTTGTCATGAATACATAAACTAAAAGTAGCAGTTATTTATATTTACTTTGCCATGTTTGCTTTTTAAATAATAGTAGGAATGTATCATATATTTGTTTTTAAAAATTTGCCAGATGTTAATTTCGAAACTGGAGAAAAACAAAGCAATGAAGTCTGAAGATAAAGCAGAAATAATGAAAACTTTAGAGATTCTGACAAAAAATATTACCAAGTTGAAAGATGAGGTCAAAGCTGCTTCTCCTGGACGCTGTCTTCCAAAAAGTATAAAAACCAAGACTCAGGTATTTCAATTTGTATTGTTATTCATATTACTACTTGTTAAAAGAACATTAAAACACTACATTATTTAAGATTCAGTTTTCCTTTAGCTAATATTCTTTGCTCAAAATTTGATCATTATATACTACCATTCTTCTCCTTCTCTAGTAATTAATAAGTAAATAAACACAAACAAGCAAACTCTACTCATCTTTTGAACCCTGCACATTGTAGTTAGAAAGTCAATTTTAGTTAGAAAGTCAGTAATTAGACAAATAGTTATGGATAATCTTAAAAAGGTAGCTAGAGGACAAAACAATATAGGTACTGGAATGCTTGACTGAGGAGTTTGAGATTTATTTTGTAAGTAATTGGTGGTATAAAATATTAATGAACAGAGAAGTACCAATCTGATGTCACTGTACAGAATGAATGATATTTTCTTTTAATAAATTTATTTATTTATTTTTATTTTTTGGCTGCATTGGGTCTTCATTGCTGCACACGGGCTTTCTCTAGTTGCGGCGAGCGGGAGATACTCTTCGTTGTGGTGCGCGGGCTTCTCGTTGCAGTGGCTTCTCTTGTTGCAGAGCACGGGCTCTAGGTGCACAGGCTTCAGTAGTTGTGGCATACGGGCTCAGTAGTTGTGGCTCGCAGGCTCTAGAGCACAGGCTCAGTAGTTGTGGCACATGGGCTTCATTGCTATGCGGCATGTGGGATCTTCCCGGACCATGTCCCGAACCCATGTCCCCTGCATTGGCAGGCAGATTCTTTAACCACTGTGCCACCAGTGAAGTCTCCAGAATGAACGATTGAAAGGGAGAAAATTCAGGTAGATTAACTGATTAGATACAAAAAAGTGAGCAAGTTAATTTCAGATGACAATAAGTGATTTAAAAAAAACCCGTGGAGTTATACAATACTTATACTTAGTGTGTGTGTATGTGTGTATTTGTTGTGTGTGTGTGTATGTATATATGTGTGTGTGTATATATATATGTATATATATAAAATTATGAGTTTATATTGATATTTCTCATTCTAACCTAATACCACAGCGTTCTTCTTTTCTTTCTCTTATGCCCTATCTCCCTGTTCCCATGATGACAACTTGGTTCCCACTAACATCAATACAGTATGCGTTTGCACAGTCCTGTAATCCATTCGAATAGTTCCAGAATTGCTAAAACAATACCACTTCCAACAACTAACTAAATATAAAATTAAGAATTTGTTTGCATTCTTTACAACCTCATAATATACTCCACTAAGAGTATAGAGTCAGACCCGTGGTGTAGGATCATGTGTTTTTCCGTTCGTGTGGTTATGTTATTAATTTGATAAAGTTAGGTTTATTTCTGTCTGTATTCAGTTTTGGATCGCTGTCCCTGTCATTCTTGCTGATTTAATTTTATTTTTTGAATAAGTAAAACATTAACATGATTCAAAAGTTATACTATATAAAAAGGTTTATATAAACAACCATTCCCCTTTGAGCCCTGACACTCTGTTCCCCACTCTTCCCTCCCTCTTGGTGTGTGTGTATGTATTCTTTCTTACATAAAAGCGTACTGTATATTCCTCATTAACACCTTGGTGTTTTGCTTTTCTTTTCAGTTATTTCCTGAAAATTACTCCATATCAGTCCGTAGAAATCTCACTCTGCCTTCTGTCTGGAAAATGAATTATAGGGAAATCAGTGGAAGTAGGAACAAGTTAGAAAGCTGTTGCAGTAGTGTAGACCAGAGGTGACTGGTGGCTTGAACTAGGATGGTAGGACTGGAGATAGAGAAGAAATGTACGGATTAAATGAGAATGTGTAAAAAATTCTTTGTAAGAAGTTTGGTATAAATGCAGGATATTGATTGTCATCACCTAAAATATTTATTACTATTTTCTAGATGCAGAAAGAATTACTTGACACAGAACTGGATTTATATAAGAAGATGCAAGCTGGAGAAGAAGTCACTGAACTTAGGAGAAAGTATACCGAATTACAGCTGGAGGTATGTTTCATGATAGCCACACAGTACGCTAAAGAGGAGTAGTTACAGTCTTGATGGTTTATTTGAAAATACATTCCTCTCATTCTGGTCAGCAGTCGTTGGCATGTTGGGAGTTGATGTAGAAAAGAGGGAAGAGGTTAGCAAATCTTTCAGAGCTAATAGAAAATCTCTTAGTATTTAATGAGGGGTGATAGCCATTCTACTTTTATACACAAGTCCCTCTACTTCTAGTGAATTTTGTTCCTTTTCTATTTTCGGTTTGTTTTTCTTCTTAGGACCAAAATCTATTAAAGACTTTTCATTTATTCTTAGGGAGATATTCTGTGCATGTATAGGCATGTTACGTTGAGTTCCTATAAGGATCAGACTTTTAGTGGTAGAATTATATTGAAGAACATGCTTACTTAAGTTTTGCCTATAGATGGTGCTGTGGATGTTAAAGAGAAAAAAAACTAACTTCTTATAATTTAGTTATATGATTATATAAGAAAAATCTAGTAAAATTGATCTCTATACATGAGAATTTTTAACATTTAGCAAAAAGATGTTTAAGAATCAGAATTACATTTTGAAGTACAGGGACATTTATGTCATTAGTGTAGTTGGTACTTGCCTATATTTATCGTTGCCACAATTTAATTTTTTTGTATTTTAGCTTATTCCTTTTGCTTAATCTGAAAATAATGCTTTTTTTCCAAATTCGTTAGCAACTTGATTTTCTTTTTTCAACATAGTAGAAATCTGTATTGAGTACTGGTATCCAGCTATTAAAGACTTTAACATTTAGCAGCCATTGTTCTTGTCTTAAGGCTCTTGTCTTGTCTGTCATAGGAAGCCATAGGATGGTATATTAAACCTGCATATATTTTGCGTTCTCTGGAAAACTGATATGGTTGTCTGTGTGTCCTGCCTAAGATAACAAGTTTTGGAAAAGATAGGTTCCTTTTATGTTAATATAGAAATTGTGTTTTCACCATTCTGGAGATTTCGTGCCTGTGTTCATGCGACTTTAAAAAAATACATTATCATTTTTAAAATTTTGGCCCATAATTTTAGCAAATAAATAATAGTATTACTAATATCCTTTATATTATTGGTCCATGTTTTCATTCTTATCATGATATAGCTAAACACTGAATGACATCTTCTGTTTTTCTTTTATGATGGCCAAACTTTAGTTTGCAATTAATATTAGTATATGCAGTAATGCAGTGTTTGCCAGAGTGTGTTCATTCACCACATCAATTCCATATTTTGTTAATAGGTATTAGTGAAAAAAGCTTTTGAGGCCAAATAAGTTTGGAAGAGGTTATAGTAAACGTGTGTTTTTTTTTCCCCACATTCTATTTTTTATTTTTTTTAACATCTTTATTGGAGTATAATTGCTTTACAGTGGTGTGTTAGTTTCTGCTGTATAACGAAGTGAATCAGCTATACGTATACATACATCCCCATATCTCCTCCCTCTTGCGTCTCCCTCCTACCCTCCCTATCCCACCCCTCTAGGTGGACACAAAGCACCGAGCTGATCTCCCTGTGCTATGCAGCTGCTTCCCACTAGCTATCTATTTTACATTTGGCAGTGTATGTATAAACATGTGTTTTGTATATGGTTTTCTAGAGGCTTGTAATCTGTGAATCTCCAGAAACACATGTTTAAATACTCAGTATTGCTCAAACTTACTTGTCCAGGGACCCCTTTTTTAAGGAGCATTTTGAAGTTCCTAAGAGTATACTTTTGTATATGCTGTGCTGTTATTGACATTAATCCTTGACCTTTGAAGTTTGTTATTTGGATTTTAGATGATTACTTTAGCTAATGTTAAAATTAACTGTCTTGAGATGAATAAACTAAAATATTTATACTTGCAGAGATTTTGGCAGTGGTGCCTGCTTGACATTTTCACTTGGATGTCTCACATCCTCAGGCTCAACATGTTCAAAATTGTGCTTATTTTGTCCCTAAACTCATCTACACAATTACCCAAACCAGAAATCTGGGAGTCATCATTGATTTCTCCCTTTCCTTCAGTATTCATACACATTTAATTACCAAGTTTTATACATATTACTCCCCAGTGTATCTTTTTTTCCTTAGTTAATCAATTAATTAATTTTTGGCTGCGTTGGGTCTTCGTTGCTATGCGCGGGCTTTCTCTAATTGCGGTGACCAGGGGCTACTCTTCATTGCAGTGTGCGGGCTTCTCATTTCAGTGGCTTCTCTTGTTGCAGAGCACGGGCTCTTGTTGCAGAGCACGGGCTCTAGGCACGCGGGCTTCAGTAGTTGTGGCTCGTAGGCTGATTAGTTGTGCCTCACAGGCTCTAGAGCACAGACTCAGTAGCTGTGGTACACGGGCTTAGTTGCTCCGCGGCATGTGGATTCTTCCCAGACCAGGGCTTGAACCCATGTCCCCTGCACTGGCAGGTGGATTCTTAACCACTGCGCCACCAGGGAAGCCTCCTCAGTATGTCTTAAAAGTGTTTATTTTACTTCTCTCTATCTCCATGGCCACCATTGTAGACTAAGCTTCTATCTTCAGTTGTTGGCACTATTGTAGTAGCCTGACTGGTTTCCCAGCTTGTTCTCTTTTCCTTTTACCAGAATAATATTTTAAACACTGATTTGATTACATCACCCTACATCTGAACTTTAGATGTTTTAATTGATTTTCATGGCTCTTGGGATAAAATCAAAATCTTTAACGTGGTTCTTAAAGTTGTTCATTATCTGGCTCTGCCTGTCTCTCTAGCCTCATCTCTTCATCACATGTGGTCCAGCTGTACTGGATTTTATTCCTTCTTAGAAGTACCAAGTTCCTTTCAGCCTTGGTTCCTTTGTTCATGCTCTAATCCCCACCCCTCACCCTTGCCTTGCTTGTTCTTTGTACCTTCTTTGATGCACTGAACAAATAATTAAGTTTCTACAATCTGCTAGCTGCTATTTTAGGTGCTGGGGATAAAGTAGAGAGTAAAACAAGGAAAAATATTCCTCATGGAACTTTTATTCTAGTAGTTTATTCATTGCAGATCTTTAATATTCTATTCAAATCTTTAAGTAGAGCATTTCCTCATTTTTTGAATCACTTCTCATTAATATAATCAAATAACTAGATTGCTTAATGTCTCTACCCTTCTAGGATTTGAGCTTCATGAGGGTAAAGACTAGACCACAGGAAGTGCTCATTAAATATTTGTGGAATGAAGGAATGGTGTGCTATTCATATAGAGCGATAAAGTGGAATGTGTTACTGTGCTACTTTGGTTGTATGATGGTGTTAGTGTAAATGATCAAAATGATGAATTTGAAATAACTGTACATATTGAAGTCAACGGGCAAACAAATGGAAACACTGTATTTGAAAGCCATAACTAGAAAAAATACACTTATATATATAGGTATCTTGTATGTCTACATTATGCTAACTTCTTTTTTTTTAAATAGATTTATTTATTTGTTTATTTTTGGCTGCGTTGGGTCTTTGTTGCTGCGCCCGGGCTTTCTCTAGTTGCGGCGAGCAGGGGCTACTCTTTGTTGTGGTGCACGGGCTTCTCATTGCGGTGGCTTCTCTTGTTGTGGAGCACAGGCTGTAGGCACGTGGGCTTCAGTAGTTTTGGCACACGGGCTCAGTAGTTGTTGCTCGCGGGCTCTAGAGCGCAGGCTCAGTAGTTGTGGTGCACGGGCTTAGTTGCTACGTGGCATGTAGGATCTTCCCGGACCAGGGCTCGCACCTGTGTCCCCTGCATTAGCAGGAGGTTTCTTAACCACTGCACCACCAGGGAAGTCCCTATACTAACTTTTGAAGTAACATTCAGCTCTGGGCCTTATTTGGAACTCAAGAATTGCTGGTCTTTTTGTGATATAGTTTGATGTCTTAGTAGATAAGGCACATTTATTAATTTCAAAACATTGCTTAAATTAATGTTACTTTGTTTTCTAAATTCATTAGCTGTCTAAATTTTTTTTCACTTTAGAAACTAAAACCCTGACTTAAATTATGAAATCCTTTTGTAGGGCATTATTTGAATATGTAAATATGTATCAAATTGTATAACTCATGTCAGATTGTATGACTCATCTGACTGAGTATAACACTTGGCTCGTGTTAGTAATTGTGATGTTTAACCTATTTGTCTAATCTCTTCTAGGCTGCGAAACGGGGGATTCTCTCATCTGGTCGTGGTAGAGGAATTCATTCAAGAGGTCGAGGGGCAGCTCACGGCCGAGGCAGGGGTCGAGGTCGAGGTCGAGGTGTGCCTGGTCATGCTGTGGTGGATCACCGTCCCAGGGCATTGGAGATTTCTGCATTTACAGAGAGTGATAGAGAAGATCTTCTTCCTCATTTTGCGGTACTTTCTTACTGTCCAACAAAACAAATACTGATAATCATTGTTGGGGATAATGGATATTAAAGGGAAAGTATGAAAATGAAATGAATAAGCCCATTAATCTCACCAAAGGTTTTGATTAATCTATAATAATCCTTTGTTAATTACTTAAAAAACAAGCTCTAGTGGTTTTTTGTTTAATCATTATCTGGAAGAAATGTTACTATTCTTACACTTAGTAGGCCTTCAGCTTATGAAAGGAATGATTTAGACCTTATTGTTTCGGAGAGGGAAGTCCTATCGTTTAGTTTCATTTGATATTTACTTTTAGGAAAAATTTAGCATATTGCATGGGCCATCCAGATTTTTAAAAATTAAGATGGAATTTTATTTGTTAATACTGTATTCTTGACCTAGCCAACCTAGAAATGACACAAGACACAATTTTGGAATACGATCTTGACATTGCCTTATTTGGTGCCAGGGTATAATTAAAGGGAGTCAGTCTAATTGCAATGGACTTCCTTCTATGAGGAAGGAGAATAAGATTCTAGTCCCTGCTAATCCATTATTTTACTTGGATTTCCTGGGATCTGTTGGGTTCATGTGCAGAATGGAGATCATATCTGCCTAAAGCCCTTTCAACTTAAATGTTATGATTCTTAGTGGTATCCCAAAGGTTAGTTACTAACCATTGGTCTTGCCTGCAGCATTAGAGTAATTGCTCTGGAGATAAAAAGTAAATAACCAGTTCTTTACCCTCAAGGATTTTACATATAATGGTTTAACACAAACCAGTTAAACTACAAATAATTTAAAATCAAGTTAAATTTATTAAAAACTATAAATACTTCAGTAACTTAGAGAAGTATTTTTCACACAGACATATGATGGTGAAAGAACAGTAGAGGAAAGTTTCAAGAGGTAGTAAAGCTGGAGCTTGGGTCTTGAGGGATAGTTAAGCTTATAGATAGGTACACAAATAATTTAACGTTTTGAATATTCAGATTTAAATATTTGACAGTTATATTCCAGACTGTTAACTGCAGTTACAAATGTAAAACTGTACTTTTTCAGGACATAGAGAGGTATTGAAAGAAATAGTATATGTTTAAGAAATAACTAAAATGATTAATATTTAAGGATGGTGAGTCTGGAAAGTCTTCTGCTTTATGGCTTCAAAGGGAGAAAATAAGGAATCAGCTTTCTAGCTTGGAAATAACTGTAGCTCGATTCTTCCCTACTACACACCCTGTTTCTGCACCTTCCCAAGGGGAAGAAGATCCAGATAACTTAGGTGTACTACATATCGTTATACAGCTAATCAGGAAATTATCAAAGGATATGCTCAAATAATCCAGACAAACAAGGTGAGTTTAGGAATGTGTTTTGATGAGACTGAAATGGTTTTGGTTTTAGAAACAGTCAGAGCCTCTAAATGGATATTCTTGGATGTATTTGGAGATTCGAACTCTTCTCAAAGTTAGTAGTGGTAATGCACATTTAAAAAATTGCTAGTCTTTAAATAAGATAGCTTCTCTATCTCAACCCGTGATTTGAACATATGACAGGTATCAGAGAAAAAAAATCTACATTACTAAAGGATCATTGACGGTTACAAATTGTGATTAACAAAATGCTTTCTTTAATTTATCCATTGGAACCAGTAGCAGTAATAAACATTACAGCTAAAACTTACAGAGCACTTATTTTGTGGCAGGTATTTTTCTGAATGCTTTTTATATAACTCACCATATTATGAGTTATTTTGACAACTCTATGAGGTAGGTACCTTTATTCTTATTTTAGAGATTGGGAAAATGAAGCATGAAGAGATTAAGTAACTTGTTCAAGTTTACACAGCTAGTACTAACAGAGCTGGGATCTGACTGATTCTGTGGTCGTTTTCTTTACTATGCCCTACAGAATTTTTCTCTGTGGAGTGTGTGTATTTAATGAGATTGTGGTTATAATTTTATTTGGGGGTAAGAAATAAGGAGGTATTAGTAATGATATATAAAGGACTAAAGTTTTATGTGATAAAGGTGCTGTTTTCTGCTGTTTGCAGAAAAATCTTCCTACACAGGGAAAAATAAAATCCAGCACACCCAAAACAAGCATAATTTAATATGTTTAGCTTTTAAATGTCCTAAAAGAGTGTGGTCTAGAGGAGGGTAAAGTAAGAGTAAAAGCAGGGTCAATTAAAGTTTTGAATCGAAAACTTTTGAATGAAAAACTGGACTCTCATCCTGGTAATTAACTTAGTTACTTTGGAAAAATTACTTAAATTCTCTGAACCTCCCCCCATCTTTAAATTGGGAATGATACAAAAAACTCACACAATATTCTGAGGATTAAATATTCTGCTTTAGAAAGAATTTAACATACTCTGGAATTGGAATAATGAGTATAGAAGGAATGGCAGTAAGGAAGCTCAATCTTTCACCATTGTTTCCCTATTTAAAGAATAGTTCAATCAAGTGTTAAGTTACCCTGGTTCTAGAAAGTATAGAATTGTAAATAATATTGGAAAATAGGAACACCCTTTATCATACAATATTACGTCCTAAAATGAATTATTCATAATTTCTTTCTGCTAATCACCCTGAATTGTTATGCATTCTGGGTTATATTTATTGGTGTCTTAATATTTTAAAAACCATTAGGATTTTGGATGTTTCAAAATATTTATTTGGAGGAAATACTTTTTTTTAATTTAAAGCAATATGGTGAAATTGAAGATTGTCAGATTGATGACTCTTCACTTCATGCAGTAATTACATTCAAGACACGAGCAGAAGCTGAAGCAGTAAGTATTATAAATATTCTAATTTATTAAAATTCAGATTTAAATGTTCTATAAATATTGCCTCTAAGTTTTAATATAAATGAATTTTTTTTGACTTACTAAAGAACTACACTGTGACAGTAGATAGACCATAGGAAGTGGAATTCATGGCTACAAAGAATGTCCTAAAGCAGTTAGGCAGTTTTATATATAACATGAATATTTAGAATATATAGTTAATCACCAAGTTGAATGTCAAGTTGTACTCTCTTGAGACATCAGGAATTCTTCCATTCTCTTTCACAGGAGATAGGGCCACTCCACTTTCCATTATCCCTTTCTCAGCTGGCCCAGAACAAGTCTGCTTTGGCAGAATGAGTGGTGAGGGGTAAGATACAAGCGGAGATAGAATCCTGATGGCTGCTCTTCTTAACCATCCCTCATCTGCTACTTCCTAGTCCCAGTTGGCTGAACCCTACAGTGTCCGTAGCTCAGCATACCCACAACTAGGCCTCTACAACTTTTTGCCCAAGACAGGAATATATAGCGCTAGCTTTTAGGGTCCTTTTAGTATAGTTGTCTTAAAATGTGTATCTTGAATTATCTTTCTAAAGAATGACCAGAAGTATATGCAGCCTTGTCTTTCTTCTGGGTTTAAAAGATTTAAAAAAGGAAAATGAGTGCGAGGTGTAACGGGTTCATCGGAACATTTTTAGCCCTATGTATTCTTTGTTCAAGGTTGTAGAGAAATAGATGTACCATTTTGACCTTGGAAAAACGCGTTAAGCGTTCCAGTTAACCTAATGTGAATGAAAGAGTAGGATGGTTTTCAGAAGTTTTAAGATGATTGTGGTCTAAATAAGTTTTGAAAATCTTCTAAATTGATTTATTCTCTTTGTAGTGAATACTCCCTGCTGGTACATTGCTGGGAACTTACCTGGTAGGAGTTGCTCTTGGCACATTGCAGCCTATAAAAAAGACTGTTGGTCTGATAAGTCTCAGAAAAGTGTTTAACTGGGTCCTAGAATAACATAGTTTCAGGGTTAGGCAGGTGGGTAGTGGATAGTTTTATAGAATAGGAATTCCTCATCCTAGAGTTTTATTAAGTTTTAAGAAATCTTCTATTTAAAGGTCTTTTGTGAAAATAAAAGGTAATTTATAATTGATGAGAATTTAAAACTTTCTTATAAGCTTATATGTATATGTGTTATATTGAAAAAGTAGATTTTTGATCAAGTTTTCTCTGAGAGGTATTATTGAATATAAGTTAAGAATGAGCCTCCTTTAAATGACAGCTTCAGTGACAGTTTTCAGTGTAATGTTGGATACGTTGCTTGAGTACCATCTTTTTATGTTCTATTTACTTTCTAGGAAGTAGTCTTATTATAAAACAATGGTAATTGTTATGTTCAAATGGTTACAGTATTACCAAGTTTGTGAATTTAGTAACTACTTTAAAAATATATATTACTACTTGTCCCTGTTTACTTATGTGGCTGAGAAAAAAAAAACAAAAACGCTCCTGCCTCTTAAATAATTTTTGGATGTTTTGCTTTTGGTAAGTAGGACCTGTTGACATATATCTTCTTGGGTTTTGCTTTTTTCTATCTCAGATATAAATTCTAATATATATTTTTATACTATGTATATATCTTCCAAATGAATAGCAGTTATTTCAAAGACCTGGGATTAATGTATAAAGAAAGATTTTAACAGTGAATTATATGAAGGTTGAATAAGTGGCAGAATAACTTAGCTTAAGTTAGATCTGATGAGAGTTAGCTTTTCAGGGTAAATACCATTTTAGTTGGATTTACGTAACAGACTAAAAGGAACAACTACCATTGCTATGATAAACATTTGGAATTAGGTTATAGAAGTTGTTAAACATTTCCTTAAGCCAAAAAAATTTCTTAAAATTTTGTAACATTCTATTTTAGAAGAGGATAGAAAATAAAGTTGAAGCTAATCTTATACAAGCAGAATATAGGCTAAAATAGTGTTTTTCAAACTTCTGGATTTTAGGGAACAGTGAGGTTTAGGAATTTAAAAACTAGTGTGTTTGACATTAGGTTTCCAGTGTTTAATTTTGTCAAGGAAGAATGCTTAAAAAGTACAAAAAAAATTGTACCATCATTATATAAAATAAAGAAAAATTTAATACCAAATGTAGGTGGATATAAACTCAAGGTAAAGGATAGTCCTTCCCAAGAAAAGAAAATTGTAAACCTTTGCTAATGTTTATTTCCAAATATTTCATTGTTCATAATTTCTGAATCATTGTATTAGATGGCTGAATGTATGTCTATTTCCTTAAGTCAATAGATGCATAATATTTCAAAGGAAAGTACAGGAATAAGATAATCAAGACATTCAAATATGACTGAAAAGTAAGAAATTTTCCTCAGAAAAGAGACTGAAGTATTTTAAGGAGTAATAATATAAACAGAACCATTTTAGCTTTAGGTTAAGATGGCTAAGGTTTGATTCTGGTTAGTTAGAAGATGGATCCTACTGCTTTATTTTCTGTTTTCCAATTTGTCTGTCACCACCCCTAATGTACTAAAGGTGCATAAGTACCCAAACAGGACAGAAAAAAGTAACCTCTTCCCATGACTGGTTAGAATGTTAGTTTTCCTACTCTGAATTGTTCCTATACTTTTGTAAGAAACCAGGATCCAGTTTTAGAATAGGAATAGTTAAGTTCCTGTTTTATAAGAATCAGTCCCAAAGATGAAACTCTACAGTCCCAAACTCAAAGAAGGTATATAGCTTTTTATATCACAAAGAAAGAGAATCTTGTTCTACTGGTGCGTTTTTGACACCCATGCCTCAATTCCCAGTAGTTGTGTGGATTCACTGACTCAGAACTTGTAAGGTATACTTAGAACAGTGCCTGGAACATAGTAAACCCTCTTAATGTTAGCTATTTTTAATATTTGTGTGTGTGTGTATGTTTAAGAATGAGAATTGATTGGTAAATCAGTGAAACTGAATACAAACAAGATAGAGTGATTTCAAAACTCTCATTCTTTAGACCTGAAGATAGAAGCACAAAATTGGATTCATAGAGGATAGTGCAGCATGAAGAGTAGAAGTTGATGGGGCTGACTGAGTAAATAGTAAATTTATAGCAAGAAGTAAATGTATAAGTGGATTCATTCAAGAGAAATCAAATCATGTATCTCACAGTCTTTGTGTGTGTGTTCTTGCTGATTTACTCAATAGTTATTAAGTGTTGCTATGTGATGGGCACTGTGCTATGAGAATTAGTAAATCTAAGTCTGAAGCTTGTGAGACAGTGGCCATGTAGTCTTTCCCTATAAATTCTAAAAATCAGAATTTACATGTTTTTGTGGTCCTTTAATGTAACTTCTGCCTAAACATTGTATACTGTGGTTATTACAAACATTAATAAGCTTGGTTTTAACCTTCTTTTATAGATAGCTTTATCGATATGGTTACTAAAAAAAAGTTAGGTACACTAGGCTTGCAGCTTTAGCTCTTCTGGCCTTAGGTCAGATTTCCCCACATTGTTTTTACAGAACACTGGTTCTATAGGAGCTCCTCTAGCAAAGGATTCTCTTGTCAGTAAATTTGTGAAGAGCTGCATTTTGTATATTCAATTTAGAATTATAATCTCAATGACTTGAAAAGGCAAACACACCTGTTTAATTTTGCTTAATCCAGCCTTTTCCAGATGTTAATTGTTTCCAGAATCATTTTCCATGTAAGATATGGAACCTACCTCATAACTACTTTTCATACTTTTTTTTCTTCCTTCATTTGTCAGGTCTTCAAAGCCTTTTTTAAAATTTTTTCTTCTGTCACTGGGTGTGCCTGCTTTCCTTATGTCCTAATATGGTGCAAACTTTGAATGACTATGCAAGACTAAATAGGCAAATGTCTAAAGCAAGCCTATGAATAAAATGCTTCAGCTTTTAAACATACTTTTTATTTACACTTCAAAGCATAGAAATGAGAGAAAATTGTAAAATGAACTTCTACACACTCATCATCAAGCTTTAGCAATTATCTACTTATGGCCAATCTTATTTTGTCTGTATTCCACCCACTAACAACCCTCTGCCTCCTTATTTTGGAACCATTCCCAGTCATCATATCATTTCAGCTGTAAACCTTTCAGTGTTTATACTGAACCTGTTCTCTCGATATTAGAGCCTTAAAAAAATAAAACAATACTATTATCGTACCTAAAAATGATTAATATTTCTTAAGTATTACCAAATACCAGCGTTTACAATTCTCTGGTTTGCTTATAAATATTTTACTTACTTCCTTTAAGGATTCAGAATAAGATTCATATTTTGATTTAACTTGATTGGTATTGTGGAATTATAAATTCATAGATTTAAACATTTCATGGGCATTGATCCATTGTCCTCAGTTATTGATGTCCCATCTTTGGCTAGTGGCTAGTATATAGATTTGTTCCTGAGTTCTTTTGACAGGACTCTAGTGGGTTATGATACTTTCTCTGCTTTCTGGTATGAAAAGGTGTTCTAGGTTCATCTTATAAATTTTCTCTTCCAGACTAGGAACTGGCCATTTCTCTAAGGAGCTCTGATTCTTTTTACTGGGAAAGGTATTTAAAGACCACAATCTGAGTACTAGGGATGCTCATTACTACTGAGTTTGTTACTATAACTAATCTTTTTCAGTGGTAAGAGCTGGGAGTGGGGAAAAAAATGCATATGTTCATATAGACACGTGTACATATACATACATATCCTACTGATATTTCCCATTTAATTCTGTACTATATGGTTTTTATACACACACGTATACAGGTATACCTTGTTTTATTGTGCTTTGCTTTACTGCAATTTGCAGATATTGTTTGTTTGTTTTAACAAATTGAAGGTTTGTGGCAGCCCTGCATTATGCAAGTCTGTCAGCGCCATTTTTCCAATAGCATTTGCTCACTGTATGTATCACATTTTGGTAATTTTTGCAGTATTCCAAACTTGCTTCTTCATTATATTTGTTCTGGTGATCTGTGGTTATTTAGGGGCACCATCAAACCATGCCCATGTAAGACAGCAAATTTAATCAATAAATGTGTGTTCTGACTGCTCCCACTGACCGGTCATTCCCCATCTCTCTCCCTCTCCTCAGGCCTCCTTATTCCCTGAGACAAAACAACATTGAAATGAGGCCAGTTGATAACCCTGCAGTGGCCTCTAAGCGTTCAAGTGAAAGGAAGAGTCACACATCTCTCACTTTAAATCAAAAGCTAGAAATGATTAAGCTTAGTGAGGAAGGCATGTCAAAAGCCAAGATAGGATGAAAGCTAGGCCTCTTGCACCAGTTATTCAAGTTGTGAATGCAAAGGAAAAGTTCTTGAAGGAAATTGAAAGTGCTACTCCAGTGAACACATGAATGATAAGAATATGAAATAGCCTTATTGCTGATATGGAGAAAATTTTAGTGGTCTGGATAGAATATCAAACCAACCACAACATCCCCTTAAGCCAAAGTCTAATCCAGAGCAGAGCCTTAACTCTCTTCAATTTTGTGAAGGCTGAGAGAGATGAGGAAGCTTCAGAGGAAAAGTTTGAAGCTAGCAGAGGTTGGTTCATGAGGTTTAAGGAAAGAAGCTGTCACCATAATATAAAAATGGAAGTGCCGATATAGAAGCTGCAGTGCGTTATCCAGAAGATCTTGCTAAGATAATGAAGGTGGCTACTGTAAACAACAGATTTTCAGTGTAGATGAAACAGCCTTATATTGGAAGAAGGTGCCATCTAGGACATTCATAGCTAGAGAGGAGAAGTCAATGCCTGGTTTCAAAGCTTCAAAGGTCAGGCTGACTCTCTTGTGAGGAGCTAATGTAGCAGATGACTTGAAGTTGAAACCAGAGCTCATTTAGCATTCTGAAAATCCTAGGACCCTTAGATTTATGCTAAATCTACTCTGCCTGTGCTCTGTAAACGGAACAACAGAGCCTGGATGATAGCATCCAGTAAATAATTTTAAAATTAAAACTTTAGAGAGTTGTAGATTCACCTTACAAATTTGAAGTATGTGCTAAATATAGAGATTTACAAAATTAGGTCATAAGAAATTTTTAATAAATTAAATAAATTTATGTATGTATGGCTGTGTTGGGTCTTTGTTGCTGTACGCGGGCTTTCTCTAGTTGCGGCGAGCAGGGGCTACTCTTTGTTGTGGTGCACAGGCTTATCATTATGGTGGCTTCTCTTGTTGCAGAGCATGGCTCTAGGTGCGCAGGCTTCAGTAGCTGTGGCTCGTGGGCTCTAGAGCACAGGCTCAGTAGTTGTGGCGCATGGGGTTCGTTGCTCCGCGGCATGTCGGTTCTTCCCGGACCAGGGCTCGAACCCATGTCTCCTGCATTGTCAGGCGGATTCTTAACCACTGCACCACCAGGGAAGTTCCCATAAGAAATTTTTGAAGAACTTACTATAAAAAAACATCACTTAACATTTTTTGCCTTTTTTAGCTGGATGAAAACATGAGTTTTATGAGTAGCCATTTTGCATGAGACAATTGGAATTCCTTACAGGAATATATTTTTATGTAATAGTTATAGCTTCAAAAAGATTACAGTTTGTTTCTGGCCTTAAATATTATATATAAGTACTTAAAAATTTTTAGTTATATGACATGATGGGGTCATGGACTAAAAACTCCTGAGCTGTATTTTAATAGGCATGAAATATTTTAAATTTATCATAAATTTATATGTGCAGGTTTAAAATTTATACCTGGGGACTTTAATATCACACAATTCATAGTCAGATGTCATTGAACATGTAATTGTTTCTACATATCACATTATGCTGTACTTTGAGATTGTGCTATAAATCTTTTGTGACTATGAGTTATTTTGGTATGTTGCTAACATTGATTTATGTTAGTTCACATTACTTTAATTTGAAAGCATTCTTTCTAAACCAGCCATTTAATGTAACAAGTACTTAGAGTTGACTGTTTACTCAGTTTTACCATATGTAGGTCTGAAAGCTTTGTAGGGAAGTGCTTTAGTTTTCAATAGAAAAGTTCAGGGTTTTTGTTTGTTTGTTTTTTTCTTCTTCATTGAGATATTTATATTTTGTAATAGTGATACGTCAAACATTTTATGGTATTTTTTGATTTTTTTGATGTAATTTAAAAATAAATACACATGCAAAATTATTCTTATATTTGTTAAAGGTTTCTAGTTTATAGTTATTATATGAGCCATTTGTGAATTAACAAGAATTAAGATCTACAGCCAGAATCTTGAAGTGCTTTGAGATTGTTGCCTTGAGTAGCAGTTATCCTTTTACTGTAGACATGGAGACATAGTTCTTCTAGTCAGATATTGGCCAGTAGTGAAATAGCTCTACTCGATTATGAGAAATTGTTCCTGTTTTCTTTTTATAAAGGAATTTACAATCACTAGGCTGATTTTAGAAGTAAATAACAGTATAAAGTACATTATAAATTGCAATAATAAATAGTAAATAAAGAAGTAAACCACAAAGCAAAAATACACAACTGTCTTTCACTTGTGTTTAGCTAATTTAGTTTAAATATTAGGTACTATAACATTTCATTTTTTTCTTCACAAATTATTAATATTCTATATTCCAATGTTCTTAATTGTTTTAGGCTGCAGTTCATGGAGCTCGTTTCAAAGGGCAGGATCTAAAACTGGCTTGGAATAAACCAATAACTAATATTTCAGCTGTTGAAACAGAAGAAGTTGAACCTGATGAAGAGGAAGTATGTTTTTTTTCCACTTGTTTTTACCCTTAAATGTTTACGTTTTTATATAAAATGTGATTTTATGGCTGTGATTTTAACATAAAACTTTTATTCCTGAGCCATCTTCCAGGCAGGGGATATCAGATAAATGCAGACAACTTTAAATTTTATGTATTAATGAGAACTGTGGATTGCTAATCCAAAAAGAATATATGAAAATCATATATATACTCAGTTTTCATTTACTCTTAGAAAAAATTAATTATTCATTAGATTTTTATCCACAGGAAATCTTGTGATATTTTAAGTTTTAGAGTATATACTCTATTCAGTTGCTTTATTAATATTTCAGGTTTCATTTTAATTCATACCATTTTAGTTCATTAGAATGAATGCCTGCTATATGGTAGATACTGTGATAGGCACAAAAATGAATAAGACACGGTCCCTGTTATCAAGGAGCTTATAATATGGAAGAGGGGGTGGTGACAGACACATAAGAAACTAATTATAATAAAAGGCAGACTGATATGGTAAATAAAGATTTGAACAATATGCTGTGGGAACCCAGAGGAAGGAGTGATTGTTTCTTTCCAGAAGAATCTTGAAGGAGGTGGTGGCAGTGGAGCTGAACCCTGAGTGATAAAAAAACTTTTCATAACCAAGAGCTGGGACTGGGAGTATAGTTGAGAGAGGCATTTTAAATGGCAGAAGTATAGGTGTGGAAGAGTATATTTTTTCTTGGGTAACAGCAGGTAGTCTGATGGCTGAGAGGTGAGAGCATGAAGAACAGTGAAGTGGAGAGCCCTTTGAAACCAAAAACCTAAAGATAAGCAACTCTGTTTTGTTTAATCATGAAATAAGCTGTAGGAAAAAGTTGAGGAAGTTAAGGAATGAAAGGTAAGGTGGGGAAACTAAATGGTTCCATGTTTTACATTGGTTAGATTTTCATAATGGCACTTCATTTTGTTTGAAGAGCATTCAAGGCTGTTATACATATCCATAGTCAAATGCAAGAATAAAATGTGTATTTTGAAACTCATATACATGATTTGTCATTTTATATTTTAGATTATACCTTTGTCCTTCCATGAGTTTGAATTGAATGGGGAGAAAAGCAGGAGAGCTCCTGGTATTAGGTATTTTGAAAAGTTTGAAAAGTAGACTGAGAAGCTTTTATGAAGGGAATGGGGAAAAGAAAAGAATGCTATAAAAGAAAATGTTTGTTACATATAGCAGAAAAGAAATATAAATATTGATAAATTTTATTCAAGTTGTTGGTTGATTTAGTGTCAGAGAAGACTTATTGATGTTTTCTTTAAAACAAAAAAAAGGTGTGGAGCAATGTTTTGTAGGTATAGAAGATGGCATAATTTGATAAAGAGAGGCAGGAGAAACGGCATGTACAAAGGCTTACTTTGATATTTTTTTAGTGTCTATTTGATGCAAGCAATAGAATAGATAGTATTGAGAAACCATTGAGTAAAGATTGCTTTTCTTTGTTTCTTGAATGTTCTAGCTATAGAAATACCTTTTGTATTCAACTCTGTTGAGAGTAATCAGTGTTTAAAAGTGTCACCTTTTTTCTTTTCTTTTTTTTTTTTTTGGGTAAATTCCTAAATGCATTTTAACCTAAAGTTTCAGGAAGAGTCTTTGGTGGATGACTCATTACTTCAAGATGATGATGAAGAAGAAGAGGACAATGAATCTCGCTCTTGGAGAAGATGATTTGACTGATCATTGATCTGCATATGATAGAACTCTACCTGTGTTTCATTAGTATTATCTAATGTACTTTTACATATTTGTAAAAACAATTTTTGGTAAAATGTGATGAAGATGGATTTCACAAATAGACAAAAGAGAAGAAAACTACCTTCTGAATCCTGTATTTTGAAAGATTGATGTTTGAGTTTTATTTCAGTAAACAATTGGTAAAGACATCACACTAGAAACATATGCAATGTTTTTATTACATACTTCTACTGAACATTACAGAATTCTTTGGGTTCTTTGTAATTTAATGAATAGGTCTGAAGACTTAATGACCAATACTTGTTATAACTTAGAGGATTTTGTTTTACTCCAAATAAGGAATGCATTTGCATTTAAGATCTTAATGAATGTTTTCAAAAATGAGTAGGTAACATAGTACTCTAACTAAAGTCTCCAAGTTATGTATTCATAATATTACATAGTAGTATGCTTAGGCTTTACTATGTATTAGCCTTTTGTTGGACTTGTGTATGTATTTTACAATATGGGTTTTAATGATAACGGTGTATGACTGACTGCTTTGCATTTGAGTCCTTATGCATTCAGATGTTAAAAATAAAGTGGAATGGTCTCTTGAAAAGAAAAGAAAAGAAAAAAGCAATGACAAAAAAAAAAGACAATGTTCCTTGATTTAAAAAAAGAAAAAAAAAAAAGAAAAAAAAGTTAAAATAAATAGACCATTCCAGATGGTGATCTACCCTTCCCCCCAATTATCACAAAAGGAGCTATAATCACTAACTTATTCTTAATAATAATAATAATGGTTACCAGTACCTTTACAATAATGTTCAATCCATTGTTTAAAATTTATACCACTTCAGTTTGGTTTGATCCTATAAACTTTCAACAGATGTCTTAAATTAAAAGCAGGCTGATTAGTTTGGAACCAGACTTCAAGTAGAGCTAACATTTGGTGAATAAGAAAACATCACATTACATTTTGGATGTATGAAAGAAAACTTGACCATTTGAAGATGTATGAATAAAGAAATGTACTATAGATACTACTTTAGGAAAACACTGTTTGGTAAGTGTTCCAGTCTGATATTTTAAGTGTGCATTTCCTATACTTGTATAAAAAATCTTTGACATTTGCAACAATATTGTGATTTTTAAGTGGCTTTCTCTGACAAGTGAACATGATCATTGAAAGTTGATACAGCAGTTTCCAGGAAATAAATGCATTCTTTGTAGAATGGAGGGTGGAAGATTACATATTTATCTTTTACAGTTTATCTTTTTGGTTGCAAGTGTTTCTACCCCTCCTGAGAATATAGTGATTATATTAAAAGTCACATAAAAAAAAATTACTTTCTTCCCATACTGGGGTCCTCACAATCACAGACTGTAATTTCACCACCATGGTCTTTTGCCAGTGGATAGCTAGTGGATGCTGTTCCTCTTTTCCTTTTCTTCCCACACTTAGGGTTAAAGTTGTATATATATTCTTGATGGTATTATATTTCATAGGAATGTTTTGGCTTGCAGTTGATGCACATGTTTATATTTAAAATTTCACTATCAGATTTCTTTTGTCAAAATAGTGACTTTACTTGAAACTTCTTTACTCTACTTAGAGCTGTGATATATTTTGATGTAGTCTCTTGTATGTTGACTATGTGCTATTCTGATTCATTAGGTAAGTTTGTTTTCTTTTCTTTTTAGTAGTCGTGAAAGATGCCAAATTGGCAGAGGCTCACGTTTCTTCTCTTTACACCAAACAGGTATTATAAAGAAAGAAAATCTTGCAAAGGCCAGTTAAATCTCCATGCTGATTTTTGGCTTTATAATATGATTAGTAAATTTTAGCATGATGTTTTGCAATTATTGTAAAATTCCCTTATAATGTAACTGAAATCACATACTATTTACTTAAACCCATAAATAGCTAATCACTTTCCCTAATCTTAAATTCTGTAGTAACCTAAAATTAAAAGGTTTTACACCATGTTGCTTTGAATGAATCAGAAGACAAGTATGTTTTGATCGGGTCCTGCAGTATGGGGATTAAATATTAGCAACAATCATTAGGTCCATAATTATATTTTTATTATCATTAATATGATTTTAATTATAAATATTACGTAGTATGAAATTGCTATTGGATTTTTTCAAATTAATGCATATGTTTATAAATACTAGTACTCTACATGTACTTTCATGTGTTCTCATTTAAAACTTAAAATATCCCTTTGAAGTAGTTGTTAATTCCCATTTTACAGATAAGGAAACTTAGGCTAATAGAGATGAAATGACTTGCCCAAAGTGACAGCTAGTAAGTAGAAGGACTAAATTTGAATTGCAGGCATTCTGATTTCAGTGCCAACTTTTTTTTAAACCTCTACATTGCTACCTCCTTCCTAATTATTGATTGGGCATGAGATTGTGTTCACAATAAATGTGGTAGTTGTTACACAAAATTAGTAGACTTCTTGGTCATTAGCCAGTTCATACCTTAACCATCCCTTTTAACACAGCACTTTGTTCATATCTCTGTTACAGTACTTATGTTGTAATATAATTTATCTGGTTTATATGTCTGTCTTCCCCACTAGATTACAAGCTCCTCTAGGAAGGGGACCATGTCTTATTCATCTTTTTATCTCTAGTGATTATCATAAAGCCTGGCTCATAGTGGGCATTCAGTTGTTTGTTGGATGAATTAATGGATGAATGCATATTTAAATCTCCAACAATGGAGTGACAATTACCTCCCTTGTTAATTCTTATCAATTTTCTAAAAATCTCTCTTGAAGGTCTTCTCAGTCATTGGGACCGTCTTAGTAAACAATTGATACTGTTAAGTATTGCACCAGTGGGGGTTACAAATACTGATGGAGGAATATACAAGTAGTCTTAGTGGAATTTCCATAACAATTAGTAGGCTATTAAAATTTTGGAGTTTTAAATGTTGTCCATTCAGGAGTAAAATCGCCTTTTGGTTTCTATCAGTGTGTAAGAATAGAAATGTCAAGAGCCACTAATCTAGTCCATCCCGGTTAATTTTTTATATCCAAAGATGAGCTAGTGTAGAGTACTGGACAAGGGTTAAGAGATTTAGCTTTTGGTCCCTAGCTCTGTGATTTGACTCTCTGGCCTTAGACAAGTCTCTTAACTTATCCAGGGTTGTTTCCTTGTCTGTAAAATGAAAGGGGTTGGACTAGATGATCTCTGAGGTCCGTTCCACGTCTTTAGTTTCCCTGGTAGTATGTTAGTGTTTGATCTAAAACAATTTAACATATCTATATCAATTCTCCCTACCTGTTGTTGCTGTTGCTGTTTCTATCATCTTATCAGTGGAAACAACTTAGATTTGGTTATGATAATTCATACAGTGTGTCTTGGTACAGTTTTGTATATAGTGTTCCCAAATGTTTGCCTTTGCTACCCAAATTCCTTTTAACCTGGGAAGTGTAGATTAACTTCTGTATTCACACTTTTTCTTCTTGCTTGTAACTTTCCTTTCACTTCCAAACTTAAAGTTTAAAACTCTTTCTTATTACAGTATGCTACCTAAAACTTGATACACGCTTTTAAATTTTGCAGTTCTAACAAGTTCTTTGCTGTAGTATAGATCTGGGCTGAGGTGGGAGTGAAAAAGGGATTGAGACGTAGGTAGCTACTTTTTCCAGGAAAAAATTGAAGGAAATTATGTATCATTGGTTTAAAAGATTGATTAGGATTACCTCAAGGGATGGTTGAGTTGTCATTTTACATACTTCACTCAATATTTTATGTCTCTACGTAAGCAGTGTTGCTTTAACTGTTATTGGATAATTGTAACATTTAAAAATTAATTTTAGTATTTAACCAGTACTCAAGCATTTAATGAAATCATGTTGCATGAATGGGAGAGTATTCCATAGCTCTTGTTTTATTTTGTAATATAATCAAATGTATCAAACAGTAGTTTACTATAAAGATAAGACTTCACTGTTTTAGCTGATTGCCTGTAGAAAGTATGGCTGAGCTTAATTGAAGGAAATTTCTTGTTACTAGAACTGTTTTATGGGGACTGTATTTTCAGTCTTACTTGGAACACTAATCACTGGCTCTAAGGGTTACAAAAAGAAGGCAAACAGTTGCTTGTTTGGTATGTTGAAATATCAATGGCTATTGTAGAATATTATACAAACTTTATCAGTCTATATTTTCTTTCTTTTTTCCCCTTACCTATAGTGTGAACTAATTATAGAAAATCAGTTTTAGTCCTTCCAGAATTTATGTAAATATTTGTAAGATTTTCTTTTTTCTTCCCTTACAAGAAGTCTTTTAGCCTTTTAAAACAAAAATGTCCTGCATAAAATTCTGGCTTATTAGGTTAGTTCACCTTTTGGTCTTTTGCAGGGCTTTTCTCATTCTTCCAAAACCATATAATTAAAGCAGAAATGTAATCTAGGAATAAATTGTCAGCATACAGTATCTGTAAGGCAGAAAGAAAATTTCCTTTTCCCAGATCTCAGGAACTACCTTGTTCTTGTTAACTTCTTGAACTGGCTAGTTGCTCCGAGGTATGTATACAGCATACAGGCTTTTAGAGAAGAGTAGATTTTTTCTCTCTGATCATTGTATACCTATCAGATGACAGCAGATTATCTTCCAAAATAGCTATCTAAAAGACCTAAGAAAGGAAGAAACCTTGGTGAACATGACTGACATACTCAGTAATTTCTAATGAAAACTTGTTCAAAGAAAAATTTCATACTTGTTCAGTAGAAAAATTCCTAATTTGGTTAATAACTTTCTTACAGTTTATCAGTATTATGTACTCATTACTTAGTATAATTAAAAGCATTTTTATTTTACTTTTTTGTATCAATTTATTATATTTGCTTCTTCCTCATCCCTCCCTCCCTGTCACTTTACTTCATCCATCCTCTCATCTTCCCAATCATCCAAGTTAGTCTTCCTTTGTATACGAAGCAGTGTCTCATTTTGATATGTTCCTTTTTATTTACTTTTGTTGTTAATCATTATGCTTAGTATAGTATTTTATGTCATATAGTGTGATTGAAGAATGAAATGGTTATCACATGGAGTTTAAGGAAATGAAGTCCTTGGGAAACTTAAGACAATTGTTCTTGCTTTTATTTTATATCAATATTTTGGAATTTGTTCGTGATTTCTTAAAATTACTACTTTGCCAACCCACACTGATAAAAATTTACTATGTGGTCAGTTATGACATTTCCTAATCAGAAATTTTAGATCGTAACCATGTTGCAGAGCTGTGATCTTTGCAGCTTAATGTTTCAGTGAAGCATGATGCAGAGAAGTTTTGTTAAATCATTTTAACCCAAGGCTGATCTTTGTGAAATTTGTCTGGAACTTTCATTTTGATTCCTTTCTCAGATTTTATTTAATGTTAAAAAAAATTAGAGTTCAGTGTATGGTATGATTCAGTTTTTAGATTTATTTACTGTTTTCACAGTTTTTTTTAATAGTCTTCTCTTTTTCCAGCAGAGAGAGATCATCATTGCCTGAATTTAGCTTTGTGACTACAACAGCAAGACCTGTTCCTGTCTGGAGACGACTGTTATAATAATATGATACTATCGTTTTATGTTTGCCCTTTATCATTTTGAATAGATGTTTACATGTACCATAATTAGCATTTTATCTTTACAGTTCTTTTAGGGTACATCTGAGTCCAGAAGTAAATCTGATTGTGTGCTTTGTCTGACCTTATTCTTAAATGTTTTCTCCCCTTTATAGCCATTTATTTTTAAACAGTCTAAGAAGGAAAAAAAAGAAAATCCTCTTGGTTTTCCTAACCTGAGATAAGTTTTCAGTCTCAGCCAAATTGAAATTGTGTCTAGGAAGTCTGTAAAGCCATGATACTATGTTCATTAGCATGAACAACTTAGAATGATGAAAATGATTAAAAAGTTAAACCTTGGTTTGGCTTTAATTTTCCTGGGTTTTTAGGATACATTTCTGGAGTTAGGATAGTCACTTAAAACAATTTTGAACAATTAGTAAAATACTTTTTTCACATGGTGATAACTTGCCTGTTTCTTCTAAATATACTTATTGAAGTCACTGCCAAGGCCACTTACCCAAATAATTTTTAAAAAACTCTTAACTCTTCAAAGTAAACAAGGAAAATAAGTTTCTTTCTTTTAAAGTAGTATAAAATGATCTGTGGATTGTAGATATTGAGAAATATCTATTAAATGTCTAATTTACACAGTTTTTCCTTATTTTCCTCAGTTGCAACCAAGATATCAAAGACAATTTTAAAAGCAAGGGGAAATAGTGTTGTGTGTCTAGCATTGTTAAAACTATAGTTTCCCTGCCTTAAAAGGTGTATGTCCGTATCATTTATTTATAAGCAATATGGCTTGGAATTATTTATAAAGAGTGTGATTAAATTTTATTCTAAATATTCAAAATACCCTCTTTATAATGGGCACCATAAAGTTTTCAGAAAACTAATTTCTTAGTATTCCTTCATAGATTCTCATTAGCATTTGAGAAGTCGGAAGTTACACTTGATAGCAACTCCTTTAGAAAAGTCCAAATTATACTTGATTCTTTTCTCCCTTGTTTTTTGTGTTTTTTTTTTTAGTTTCATTCAGCCATGCTCATATTTTCACCTTTTTGTGCAAAGTTAACTATTCTGCAAGCACTTTTTCTTGAGTATGCATTGCATTTGTCTTCATGAAAAAAAGAATGAACCCGTCAGACGTAATGTAAGTTTTCATCTAATGTAATAGATCCAACTAACGTGGATCTATTTTGATCCACGTTAGTTGGAGACAGCATGGTTAATGTAGGCTTGGTTTAAAGGAAGGTCTTGTTAACATAATTATGACCTTATAGCCTACAGGGCATTTTAAAAATTGGACTTCTCTTTTAGTTCACATTTATGAACAAACATATAGTTGCTGGGAGTTCACAAATATTTTCCCAGATTAGTTCAGTAGTTTTTTCTTTTTAAGGAAAGATTCTCTGCCTGTGTAATAGAATAGTTCTAACCTGCTGGGCTAAAAACCCAAAAAACATTCTCTGAAGGGACCATACTTACTGTTAACAGTTTTGGTTGGTTAATAGATGTGGATCATATCCCACCGCTCTCAATTTTATTTTGTCATCTTCCTCCCCCCCCCCTTGCTTTTAAATTAAAAACAAACTAAATTGAACATGCCATTGGGAATCAGAAGTCGAGATGATTTAATTCTCATTGAGATCATTGTACTTTCTGAAAATTGCTGTGAGATCTGGTAGGTCAGGTACATATATGAGTTCCCATATGTTTATTAATTAAAAATAGGGATTTTCATTATTTCATTTTCCTGAAGAGGATTCTTACGGAGCTATGTGTAGATAACTGTACAGAATCACTTTTGTGTAATTGAGTGAAGCAGTTTACCTCTGCATGATTGCATTATGGAAGCCTTTTATATATCTTTATATTTTTCAATATACTTAGATTTTACACTATCAGCTGCCCTAGTCATGCTATATTTGTTTTTTTTTAATAGAGTTTATAAATATTTGTGCTCAAAATACAGATCAATTGAATATTTTTGGTCTTGTTTACAAGATAAATAATACTTTAAAGTGATGCAGCCCCTCAAGTGTCTTAGGAAAAAGTCATTGGTGCTACAAAACCTTTCAATATCATTTTCAACCTGTTATCTAGACTTTGCTAGGCTTAAATCTATGATTGCTTATAACTTAATCTAATCTAGCAGCATAATTATAAAAGTGGTCTGCGGTGAGTCGGGTAAAGAGCCCAGCCAATTAGAAACATCCCATAATTTAAAGATAAGATGGAGAATGACATTATACTAATTTGTGTCCAGCTTCCCCAAAAGAAAATAGTTTCTTCAGTTTTTCATTAGCTCTTTTGATAAAAGGAGTGGTGTGTTAATATGACTAGAATAAAGAAAATGATACATTCAGCATGGCTCAGTTTTCCCACATTTCAAATGGAAAACTTTTCTAGTCCTAAAATATGGTGTAATCCTGTTCTGCTTTAAATTCCCATCTGTCTTTTACTCAACAGGAGGCAGGGTAATTCTTAAATATTTATAGAACATTTGATAAGTTCTAAAGAGATGTATTATTTACATTGTACAAGTTTTGTGTTGATGTGCAGATTGTTTTCTACATCTGCAAGACTTCATTCCAGCACCTTAGTGAATGTTCTTAAGATACAATTTTTAAGTATCAGCAAAGCATTCATAGATGTTTACTTTTGATTCTCAGAATCCTGAACCTGTTTTGGGTATGATGTTACTTCACAACATGTCTGGCACAAGATTTCCTTTAATAGTGGTTTAGTCTAACTCAATTTCTGTGGATTGTTGAACCGAAAAACACCAAAGGAGTTCTTTCTTGTCTGGAGACTGGATTGTTCCAGTTTTTAATACCTGTGCCCATAAGTATCCCATTTCACGAGTGTGTGTTGGCATGGGGGAAAAATTCCCTGCTCTTTGAGTGGAGCGAAAGTAATTGGTTAAGCTGTAGCAGCTTTTTTTGTTTATTTTCTAAAGTGATAATAAAACTTGAACTGAAAATGGTAAAACTTGAACTAGAAAACTACTCTTGTATGCTTAGAATGTTTATAGTATTACGTGTTTATGTGAGGTTGTCAACATTTTTATTATTTATAGTTGAATTATGTTTTGTTTGTTAAATATCCATAATGTTTATTATTTTTATATTTTGAAAAATTTTAAAATAAAATAGTCTTACTAAAAGCAGTTGTTAACTTTTTAAAATTGTCTTGCATTTTGCATCAATTATAGTAACATAGAATAGAAAGGAAAACTTGCAGCCCTTGGGCACTGCACAAGTAGAAACATAAAGTGCTTATACTGTCAACTTCCAAGGCCAATGAAAGTTTTTGGAACTTCCCTCCATAATTTTCAGTTTTCATCTGAACATTTCTTCTCCTGATCTAATTTGATATACTTTTCCAGCATTCAGCATGTTCATTTCATACTTATTTTTATTGAATGATAAATATTGCAATATTTGTTTTTTGTGTTTGTTTTTCATTGCAGATATCCCTTCCATCATCTATAACTTGGGTTAAATAAGTTTGGTAATAACCTGTCTTCCACTGCTTCTACAAGAAAATACATTATCATCTCAGTATATAAGTTTTGATAAAAATCTAGTTAAAGAGATCTGGTTATGAAATAGTAGAAGTCTCTGGCTTAAAATAGAGGACTTTGGTTAATAAATAATGATACTTGGTAAAATTATTAAAAAGAATTATATATATAGATATATACCTATATATAGTACAAATTACACACAAAAATGTAAGCCTTTAAAGTCTTTCACATTTTGAACCGTGTTTTAATCTTAAAATGACATTTGTCCCTAAGATCTCATTTAAATCAGAATTTTCAGGGACATTACCAACCCATTATTTAAAAAAAATAACATCTGTGATTTAAAACTTCGTAGACAATCCTGTATTTTTTATTAGAAGTCAGTGTTAGGAAGAAATACTTAGAAGTTATAGCCGTCTGCAAGTTTGGAGTTGGATAGCTTTCAAATTTGTACTAAGTTTAATGCAGTATTTGTTGTTGTTTAGGGTTTTTTGGGGGATAAATAACTGGATAATATGCCAACTTCATATTTTTTTTCTTATCAAGTTGATATTCAGAGTTAACAGAAATTAAAGAATGATGATAAAAAGGAAGATCTCTGGCATTTAACAATTGTCATGTCTGAATGAGGTAAGAATTTACATAGAAACCAAACAGGTAACTCTTTGACAAAAATATTGAATACTGAGCTGATTATTAGTCATGACAGCCCTCACATACATCATATTTATAATATTAAATGGATGAAAACTGCATATACTAATGTAATATCCTAACCAACCATTTTTTGGTCAACCTAAAAGGAGTAGGTCGTTAAAATTTTGTTTTGTCAAGGTTTCCAGTGAAAAAAGAGAGAATCCCCAGATTGGGAGTGCTCACAAAAGAATAGAGCCATATAAGGTGCCAAGGATGGGAAGAGGAGGATGGATTATAGATTTAGTCCTGCATTTGTGAAAATTCTGACTGAAGCAGCCTGGAAGCAAGTAGTACTTTTTATTTTTATTTTTCTCCTCGACTGATAAGCTTTATGGAGCATCAAAAGACATGAAAATTTCATAGAAAAACATGTATCCAGGGCACATCTATTCAAGGTCCTGCTTGTGTTTCTCATGGGGATCCACTTAAGGAAGGGATGATGATAGCAACCTGAGCGAGTTACATTGCCCCCCACCCCAATAACTCCCTCTTATCTGCCACAAGAGCACCTCAGCACAACTTATCACATAAAGCCATAAGCCACGCCACTCAGACCTAATGTCCAGACTCAATGTCCCAAGATTTTTACTGTGCTATGTATGTAACCTACCTGTGACTGCCCTTACCCACTTGGACCTGGGAACATTCCAAATGTGAACAATTAGGGCCTTCCTGTGTGCAGTCCCAACTATGGCATACTGCAAACTATAAACTTAGAAAAATCAATTGCATTTCTATATACTAGCTCTGAACACCTGGAGGCTGAAATTAAAAATACAGTGCCAATTATAATAAGCGAAAAAGTGACATACTTGTGTGTAAATCTAAAAAGCTGTGTACAGGACTTGTATGCTGAAAACTACAAAATGCTGATTAAAAAAAAAAGAAAAGGAGACCTAAGTAAATGGAGAGACTCATGGGTCGGAGAACCCAATGTAGTAAGTGTGTCACTTCTCCCCAGACTGATACACAGGTTTGACATAAGTAATTTTCTTTTTGGTAGATACAAGATCATACAAGAATTTATATGGAAAGGCCAAAAAAGAACTAGAATAACTAAAATGATTTTTTTAAAAGAAGAATCAAGTGGGTGAAATTATCCAATTTCAAGACTTATAACTATAGTAATCAGGACTGTGTTCTTGATGGGAGGGATAGACATATAGAGATCACAGAAGTAGACCCACATGAGTGTGCCCAACTGATTTTTAACAAGGTGCAAAAACAGTTGAATGGAGGAAATAATTGCCTTTTCAACAAACAGTCCTGGAACGATTGGTCATCCCTCGGCAAAAACAAAATGAACCCTGACCTAAATCTCACACCTTACTCAACTCAAAATGGATCATGGACTTAAATATAAAGCTATAACTTTTAGGAAGAACAAAGCATCTGGAAAAATCTTTGGAACCTAGGGCTAGGCAAAAAAGTTCTTAAGACTAGATACCAAAAGCTTAATCCATAGAAGTATGATAGATTGAACTTCATCAAAATTTAAAACTTCTGCTCTGTGAAAGAATCTGTTAAAAGGACAAAGAGATAAGCTACAAAGTGGAAGAAAGTACTTGCAAACCACATTTCTATTATGTGTCAGGATTGGTATCTAGATTGTATCATTAACTCAAAGCAAAACAATAAAAAAGCCAGCAATCCAATTAGAATATAGGCAAAAGACATAGAGACATTTCCTCAAAGATGACATTCAGATGACAAATAAGCTTGTGAAAAGATACTCAACATTCTTTGCCATTAGGGAAATGAGAAAATTAAAACCACAATGTGACATCACTACATACCTATCAGAATGGCCAAAGTAAAACAGTGACAACACTAAACGCTGTCAAGGATGCAGAGAAACTGGGTCACAAATACCCAGTACATTGCTGGTGAGAATTGGATAGCAACTCTGGAAAACAGTGTGGCAGTTTCTTAAATAGCCCAACATACAACTATCATATGAACTAGCAGTTATACTCCTGGGCATTTAACTTATTTTCACGCAAATACCTGTACACGTTCTCATAGAAGCTTTATTCATAATAGTAAAAAACTGGAAATAATCCACAGCATTCAATGGGTGAATGGTTACGGATAACATCCGTTCCATGAAAATACTACTCAGCAGTAAAAAAAAAAAAAACTATTGATACATGCCACTCCGGGATGAATCTCCAGAGATTACACTGAATGAAATAAGCCAGCCCCAAAAAGCTACTGTGTGAATTCCATTTATATAGTATTCTTGAAATGACAAAATTATAGAGATGAACAGACTAGTAGTTGCCAGGGATTATGGAGGTGGTGGCGGTAGGAGGAAAGCAGATGTGGCTGTGAAAGGGAAACGAGGGATCCTTATGGTGATGGAAACTGTTCTCATCTATCAATGTAAGCATACTGGTTGTGATAATTGTACTATAGTTTTGCAAGATACTACCATTGGATTAGCAGAAATTTGGTAAAGGGTAATGGGACCTCTGTGTTATTTCTTATAGCTGCATGTGAATTTTAATTATCTCGAAATCAAAAGTTTAATTTTAAAAACAATAAAGGCAGAATAACATCTAACTAGTCCCATTTTAGGGTGCAATCTAGGGAAATGCCTTGGATGTGTGCCCCCCATAAAGAATGAGGTTTTGGGAATTCCCTGGTGGTCCAATGGTTAGGACTCCGCACTTCCATTGCAGGGGGCACAGGTCCCCTGGTCGGGGAACTAAGATCCCGCATGCCGTGTGGCGCAGCCAAAAGAAAAGAAAAAGGTCTTGAGAACAAGTATTTGAGGTGTATAAAAGCAATGAATTGAGTTTGCACACTTGAGAACTTTTGGAATTACTGCAGACTTATTTCTCTCACTGGTTACACCACAGCCAGTGCCAGTAAATGAAGTAGTTCTATATATATGTTGCATGTTAATTCTTCCCATCAGCATTGCTGCCTGAAAGGGACTTCAGACTGAGAAATGGCACAGCTCACCTACCTATGAAAAGGTGGGTGAGGAGTAAAACAATTGATTCTTATCTCACTCTTCCTGTCCTTTACCATAGTTCAGGAGGGTTGAAATCATCCAAAAGGGGAAGGAAACAGAACAAAAGCAAAATTTTAAATGCTCTGAAGGAACAGAGTTTCATGAAAGTATAAAGCAAATGGATCTGACTTAGGAAAGGCTTCCCGTAACAAGTGATCTTTCATTTGAGATGAGAGCTAAGCAGTCTACTATGGGGGAGCATATTCTTGAGGGAGTGAACAGTTTTGTACAGAAGTACTATAGAGGGACCAGATGTGCATTTGAAGAATGAGAGAAACCCAGTGTGGCTACAAGGCAGAGATACACAATTTGAGAATTACTTATTACAGAAATCTTAATCTGTCAGCATGAAATTCCTAGAGGTCAAGTATAGAGTGAGGAACTCTACATTTAATCCAGATAATGTGGACAGATTCTGCAAAGGAAAATTAGAAGGGGCAATGACAGAGGTAGAAAAAAACCCAGGAATGGGAGTTATAGAGGCCAAAATAAAAAAAGCCCACTTTGCTTTATAAGGAAATGATCAACAGTTTTAAATGTTGCAAGGTAAAGTAAGATGAAATGTGAAAATGTCCATTGGATTTTAGGATAAGGAAGTCATTGATAACCCTGGAATGTGTTTTTGTCTTTTTTTGTTTTGCTTATTTGCTTTTTAATGATGGATATCGGAGACAATGTATAGGCTAAGGAGTGAAATGAGGGTAAGGATATGGAGACAGAGTATAGACAAGTTTTTTGAGAAGATTTTTAAGGGTAGAAGAGAGATTAGTAGTTTGCAAGGCAGATGAGATAAAGGGAGGCCAGAGGCCTAATCATGTTTAAATCACTGCAGAAAGGAGTCCCAATTAGAAGACAGAGTAGACAATAATGATAGTTTACGGTGCCCAAAAGATGGGATGAGAAGAGATCCAAAGCACAATTAGAAGGACTGCTCCTAGGTAGTAATACATACAAGTCGTCCACTGGAGGACTAACTGGAGACAAGGAGAGAAAGAAAATTTCATTATGATTTTAGGTTTGGTAATGGAATTAAAGGAGTTCCCATCAAATGACTTCAGTTTTCTTTACAAGTAGGAATATCATTTGCTACATAGCCCTCACCTGTGTAACTGCTGTATAGCATCCCCCTTTTACCATCTTTCTCAGTTATACCTGAGAATCTCCTAAATATCTAGTCTTAACTAGTCCCCTCACATTCTTCCTTACCAGAATCATCTGGACTCTTCACGAAGGCCTCTATCACTATGTGGCCTCTGTTAAAACACTGCTTTACTGGTAACCCTCATAGTGTCCTTCTCCCCTACCCAGGACACCAGAGCTGCACTGAGCTGTGAGAAAGTCAATGACCCTTCTCCAACTCTGTCAGTCTTTGTTCCTGGGATCCAGTGTATAGCATCTGCTCAGAGCCTGTCTCTCTTGAACACAGCTCTTCTATTTCCTGCCCTAAACCTCTCATGCCAGTGGGTAAACAAACATCTTGCTATCTCAGAATCCTTTTTTTGCCCTTTCTACTCTCTTTTTTTATATTTAGGCGAAAAAGTAGTTTTCATAAATATCAATTAATGAAAATAAGCGGTCAGAGGAGTGGCAAAAGCATGAAGTAATTAGAATGTAAAGGGTTTTAAGGAAAATAGAAGGATAGAAGGAGTCTGAAAAGAAGGTTTAGAGCATGGTAAGAACTTTGAACTTCATACTGTGGTGTTGCCACTGAAAGGTTTGAAAGTTTATAAGAAAGAAGGTGATGGAATGAAAGGAAGACAGGGATGAGGGCAGGGTAGTGTTAAATGATTATATTTGCAGTTTTGAAAGATCATTTTTGCAGTGGTAAGGAGGGTGAATTGGAGGCAGGGAGGACAGTGAGCATAACAAGGGCAGAGAAACCCCAGGTTTCTGGGCTGAGCAGTAAAGCTGACTGGTTGTGGGATTGGGAACTGGCTTGTAAAAAAGGAAAGAAGTTGAATTCATTTCTGACATGTTGAGCTTCAGGGCCTGTAGCATATCAAAATGGAAATAACCTGTGGGCAGATGTCTGCTATCTGAAGCCCAGGAGAGAAATCTGGGATGCAGATACAGGGCTGGGAACCATATATAAGAATGAGATTTCCCAGTGAAGGACACATAGCATTCAAAGAGGGAAGACAGGATGGTGAACTCCATTATTTGCAAGGACTGGAGGAGGAGGTAACCATGAAGTAGATGAAAAAAGTTGCTAGAAGAAGACCAAACTGAAGTGATGTCACAAAAGCCAGTGAAGGAGAGAACTTCACAAATGGGGACTTAATCAAATAAGTCAAGTAAGGTCAAGATGGATTGACAATTCATAAGTCTGTACGTAGCTTAATGGAAGGAAAAGACATGCTGATGTGGAACGAAGAGTAACTGGGATGCTAGGTGGAGACAATGTAGGAAACTCAAAGTGGAAGGCAAAATTCAGTGTGGTAGCTTGCTGGGTAAAGGAAAGGTGGTGGTTGATTCTTTTTAGAATGGCAGAAACATGAGCTCATTTTATAGACTGAAGGAAAAGAGTCAATGGAAGGAAGAGATTAAGAATGTAAGGGAATTTGTTTATAATTGATAAGGTGTTTCAGGGTACACCGTGGAAAGGGATGACAGAGCAGTTGTGAGAAGAGTGATGAGAGTATGCTAGAATGTGGTCGCCAAGGCCCAAGTGGAATGTGGCAGAGAGAAATGCATGGAACTAGCCAAATTCTGTATTTTAAATCAGTTTTGATAGTGCTTTTGGTCATTACTGAGGCAGGTGTCAGGTGCTGGGGGATGCTGGTTGTCATTTGCAACCAATCCCCACAAATCTAAACACAACTGGAATATTGTAATTGTCCATTACAAAATGTAAGTACTTTGCTCATAATAAGCATCCAAATGGATTAGGCTGCTCTGGACTTTTCTGGAAAAGAGAGAAGGGAAATTATTAATAATAAACGTGTAGGAAGGGGTAGTGAGGAGAGGGAAAATACCAAGGGAAGAAAGATGAAATAACAAAGCCTGGCACCAGAATTAAAAAGACCCTGTGTAAGTAAAATGTGTTTGTCTATGCTTTCCAGGAATAAAAGAAAATTTTGGGTTTTTCTTTTCTTTTCTTTCTTTCTTTCTTTTTTTTTTTTTTTTAACTCTGAACTGTTTATTTCTTTCAAGCTGTGTCTTGATGCCTGGAGTAATGAAAATCTTCCCAGGGCAAGAGTTGTTAACTTTGGCTCCTGCTACTGCTTCCTAGAAATGAGTAATGTAAGGTAAGTAGAGAGAGGAAGCACCTGGGTTTAGTAATTGTGTGACCTCCAGCAAATGATTGGAGTAAAGATCTGTCTCCTCATATGGAAAGTGGAGCTAAAAACAGCACCTTTCTCACTGAACTATTGAGAAAATCTGATGAAACCGCAAAAAGTAAGGATTTATTTGGGGCATAGCAATGACTCAATGGATTAGTAATTGTTTATAAAGACTTGGGGGTTGGAAAACACCGCCTATGAGCTCCCTGTCTGGGGGAAAGGAAGGCCCAGAGGAAGGTCAATGAAAATGGATGCAGGATAGTTCCATCATCCACTCCCAGTGCCTCATCTGGGAAGGTGAATTGGATTTACCTTCTCATCTGCTCTGGTTTAGTTGTAGGGAATCCTGGGAAAAGTCTCGGTATTTCCCCTTCTTTACTCCAGCTGCTTCTAAATACCCTGGAGCCCTAAATTAAAGGGGCATGGAGCCTGTGGAATAGTGATAGCTGAGCTTTTTGTATTGCAAGGAATTAAGGCTGCTTCAGGTACTCCCTATGAGCTCTGTGTCTTGGGGGAAACTGGCTTGAGAGTTTGGTGAGGAATTCCAAAATTATTCAAGGTTAAAAGATGTGGACAAATTTCCGTTACCACAGTTTACTTAAATAGCGCCAGTCCCCAAATGCCATGATTCAAAAATCAGTTATCACAGTATATTAGCATGTAGTTGTGTTGCCTTCTTGTCTCCCAGTGATAGACTCATGAAACAGTTTACAAAAATGGGTAATGAAGTGCTAGTTACTGCAGTTTTAAAGTGGCGGAGAGGGTCGTTGCTCTCTCAAGAGTGAAGAATAGAAGGGGACAGTTAACTGTCATGGAAGAGGGGCTGGCTCACAGGGGCTGCTTGGACTTCTGAGGAGTTCATACACGGCTGATTCCGAAAGTGATAAAAGATGCTGGAAGGATACACACAAGAGCTGGAAGTGGGAGCTTCTTTTCTTCCTTTCTTTCCCTGGTAGTCTCCCAGTAGTGCCTCCCATTGGCAGTTAGTCTGGGAAATGTAGCTCGCAGACACCCAGCGTTACAAAGCCAAGTATAGAGGGGTTGGATTGAGTCTGAGAGGCAGTAGGTAAATAACAGCATAGCTGCCATCATCATTTCTCCCAGGGATTGTTGGAAAAATAGGATTGCTAATGCCTTGCTTTGACACCTCAGATCTTTGAAGAGGCATGTCCACAGGGCCACTGTCATATGTTTGCAGCACTTGTAAGTCATGCATTGAAATAAATGGACACTTTTTGCCCAAATATCAACCAGAGGTCAGTTACAACTACTTTTTCTTGGTCTACAAAAATCAGACACTTTTTCCCAAAGGCTATCATTGTTTTTGGTAATAGTTCATTTCATTTCTGATCCTCAAATGGCTAACCTTTGTTTGATTCCATGTCCAAGAACTTTGCTGGCCGCCTTTTATCTATTCTCAGGCTGTGGGTTTGCTTTTTCTTTACACCCTTTCTCATTTGCCTCTCTATTTCTGGTAATGAGGTATCCTGGGTGTTCATTCTTTGAGAGGATTTTTCAGTATGGTACTCAAAGAAAAAGAGGCTAAGGAATCTGAGATTTTAATTCATTTCAACTTTCTTTGTTTCTTTGTTATACCCCTCCTGACCCACTGGGAGGAAACAAATCTATGCCTTTGGAGAATTTTGAGCTTATGCTCTGGAAACGAAAACAGGCTTACACATACTTCTTAATATATTTCTTGTTTTCTTTTACATACATTCATTTACGCATAAGCATTTGTGTGTGATAAAGATGGATAACCACAGCATTTGAGCAGTTTAAAAATACTATTAAGACAGTTCTGGGATCCTACCTGATACCTGCTTGTACTGGTGGCAGTGACACCAGGATGGAAGAGGATAATGTGAATATACAGAGAAAGTTAATGAAAATTACTAAATGAATTATAGATGACAAGTCTTGCTTATATTCTAATTTTCATAGCTATTTTTTTCAAATACATCTTTGATATGCTAAGAAGCTATAAGAAGGATACCAAACAGTTAAACTGATGAGTGCTTCTTTTTCATTGCATCATTTTGTGCTTTATAACTTTTTATGGAAACTTTTAGAGGTACCTCACTTTTTGACTTAAAAAATGGAATATTTGTCTCAGAGAGCTAGACCTAGCTGCAGTCAGTTTTTGAAAAATTATGCCTCTATGGCTTTAAGGGAAGACTGTCTTGATATAACATCCCAAGGAAGTCTTTATGATACATTGGTTTGCTAATAACACCATCGGCTAAGAAGTAATAAGTGAAGGTTCTAAACTAGTACGTATCATACATAACATGCACATGTGCATAAAATGAGCAAAACTAACATGTTCTATGAAGTGTTCATTTTTATTAACTGACTATAACAATAAAACGTGTATTCTAGTGGAAAGAGCCTTTGGTGACCAGGGTTCCATTCCAGTTCAGGCTCTACTACTAATTAACTCTGTGACCTAGGCAGTCATTTAACCTCTCTGGACCTGACTTTGCTTATCTGTGATAAAAGAAAATGAATCAGACTAGGAATAAGCAGGATACATCCTGACCACCAACTCCAGAAAGTAGCCCGTTAAGAGCTGAGTTGAAAACTCTAAGGCTGAGTCTGGGCTTAATGAGGAGTGCCACGATCGATTAGTGCTGTCTGCTGTGAGTGCAGGATATGGAGAGTGGCAATGTAAGTGCCAGATACTAGCTGTCTCCCTAGACTAGCTTACCTCCAAGGCCACTTGTGCTATGCCATATAATTCAAGTTATTCATCATTTAAATTTAATTTACAAACATAAAGCAAACTGGAAAAACAAATCTTGAGGTTTCCTGACCTAAACATGGATTTTGGAAAAACACAATTTTTCCTTTTGGAAGTAGAAATAAAAAAGGAAGTTTCTGCCAGAACTTTTTTGAAAGCGTTTTAAAATAATGTAAACTTATCTCCCTTCACACTTTCATTATCGCATGAAATATTAAGTACCAACTTTGAAATTGTCACAGTGTGGGTGTTGAATATTTGCTGAATTGAATTGAATTGGGGGATAGAAAGATGAATAGACACAGCCTTTGCTCTTGTAGAGTTCATGGCCCAGTGGGGAAGGCAGACATCCTAGCAGGTAATTCCAATACAATATGTTAAATGCTATAATGGTTTTGTGAAGCTTAAAAAATGAAATGACCAACTTTTTCTGAAGGAGTTCCTGCAGGTTCCACACAGAAGATGACATCTGAGCTGAATGTTAAAGGGCGAATAAAAATCTGTCTGGTGGAGCAGGGTAGCTTAGGTATTTTGGCACTGTTGAAAAAGAATTCCTTCCCACAAATTATTTGTATTTTGGGGGGTTTTTTTGGTTAAGTTAGAGTCTAGAAAATTGAACTGTAATTGTTAGTGATTATTCTTGCTTGTTTAAGAAAATATTGTCAAATCATGTAGGCCTGAAAATGCAATTTGGGCTGCCTGGGAGAGTAGGGATGAAGCATTTAGGTGGAAGTTTAAATATCTCTGGATGACAACCGCAGGGAACAATTTGGAAGGAGAGATGACAGAACCATTCTGATCAAAACTGGAGACTCAGAGAGAAGGGTAGAGGGCACACTGGATGAGAAGTGTCTTGGGGGTTGAAGGGGTTCATCAGGGAATTTGTGTAAGGATTTGGAAAGGGATTGTCCTAAACCAAGGGCCTCCCAGGAAAGGACTTAGCATCTCCAGGAATACAGAGATGGAAGCAGTATCTCATGCTGGAATATGACAGTGAAATAAAGTATTAAGTTATGAGAATGACCATCAAAAGTCAGGTGAACAAGAGAACTCAGTCACCAGAAGAAAGGTTATGTAGAACCCATGGAGGGACATGCTGACTGTGTATTAGTGGGTGAAGCCTTCATTTTTTATTTTATTTTATTTTTTTTGCGGTACGCGGGCCCCTCACTGCTGTGGCCTCTCCCGTTGCAGAGCACAGGCTCCGGACGCACAGGCTCAGCGGCCATGGCTTACGGGTCCAGCCGCTCCGCGGCATTTTGGATCTTCCCGGACCGGGGCACGAACTCATGTCCCCTGTCCACTGGCAGGCGTACTCTCAACCACTGCGCCACCAGGGAAGCCCAAAGCCTTCATTTTTAATACTTGCAAAAAACGATAGAAAAAATTTACTCTGTAGACTGTGATGGTTTCCAGGGTAAAGTGGGGAAATTCTCAGACCAGGTGCTTCCTTAGAGGTAGTAGTTCGAGATCTCAGCTCCCTCTCCCTTGGAGCTATTGAAAACTGTTGGGGAGAAGTGAGAGTGGACCAGACTGTAAATTTCCCCGAAATAGACTTAAATGTTGCTCAGAGGGTTTGGTTGCTGATGCTCTGAGTTGTGACTATGTGTTGGCACGCCTGGTAAGTAGAGTTAGCAATTGGATTTGCTTTTTAAGCTGCATGTACGCATTTGGGCAGCAGATGAGCCTTACTCGTGCAATGATTGGCTAATAGTATTATCCAGGCCCTCTCCTGTGCAAGACGAGCTGTGACACTGAACTGTGAGGACTCTGTCCATTTACCCACTGAAAAAGCACATTTATAGATTGAAAGTGCAACAGGTCTTTTGTTGTTTTAAAAGGATAAAATCAGATGTGTTAGATGAATAAAAACGTGGCTCATGGACTTCCCTGGTGGCGCAGTGGTTAAGAATCCACCTGCCAGTGCAAGGGACACGGGTTCGATCCCTGGTCCGGGAAGATCCCACGTGCCGCAGAGCAACTAAGCCCGTGCACCACAACTACTGAGCCTGCACTCTAGATCCCTCGAGCTACAACTACTGAGCCTGTGCACCTGGAGCCCGTGTTCCGCAACAAGAGAAGCCACTGCAATGAGAAGCCCACCCACAGCAACGAAGAGTCGCCCCCACTCGCTGCAACTAGAGAAAGCCCACACACAGCACCTAAGACCCAGTGCAGCCAAAAATAAAAACAAAAAAAATGTAGCTCATGTTCTGAATGAAATAAAGTGGGTCCTGTGTCTGCAGCATAGAATTGGGATTTGTGGGCAGCTATATCTAACTTTAGTTGCGTAGCACACTTTTGGGAAGTCACTCAACAAACTGATCATTTTCCAGTCCATTTAATGAACTCCTTAAGCAGACGACATCAGAGTTGCAGCTTGGACTGCCACTCTTTCTTTTCACAGCAAGTCATATACGATATTGGCAGGGTTAGCAAATATTAACATTCAGATTTCAACTCAGGCACGTTATTTTCTGGCTGAGAATTACATGTGTGGCATGCGTATTTAATTTTAGTCAATTTCTTTTTCTTGGGTTTTTTTTTTTTTTTTGGTAACCTAAAAGAAAATTTCATAGGACATAGTGAAATTTCCTTACTATATAAAAAGGGCTTTGTTCTGCTTTAGAAGACTGTTAGGCAGGATCTACTAAAGCTGAAGAGTCGTATTCAAATATATGTGTACACCCAGTGACCCAGGAATCCTGCTTCTAGGTATTAGACTCCATAGAAATTAAAATACATGTGCACCAAAGCAAATGTACAAGAATGTTCCCAGCAGCAATCCAACGGTAAGAATATGCTGTGCATACAACAGAATACTATGCAGTGAGAAAGTATAAACTACTGTTACACAACAACACAGATAAATGCCACAAACAATATTGAGTAAAGTAGTCAGGCACTCCCACCTCCCCAAAAAAGAAGCCAGACCACAAAAAGTAGACTTTGTAAGATTCAATTTATATGAGTTTCAAAAACAGGCAAAACCGAGCTATGCTGACGAAATTCAGAAGAGTGGTTATATTTGAAGGGGTTAATCACTGAGAAGAGGCATATCGGGGGCTTATGCGGCATTGTTAATGCTGCATTTTTTTTTTAATCTGAATGGTGGTTACACAGGTGTGTTTACTTTGTTAAATGTCATTGATATATACACTTATGATTTGTGCACTTTTCTGTATATGTATTTTTACTTCTATAAAAAATTTAAACGGGTTTTAGTAACAAGCATTTACATTTGTAATATTCTAGCCTTGTAAAGTTAGGTTTAAAGATTTCTTTCTCATTAGCATAGTAGGCTCAAGTATTTTGCACAGGAATCAGTATTTTTATTTTTATTTTTCATTAAATTCATGTGTGTACCAGTTAGTATTTTCTGAATTTTATGACATTCTCTGTAGTAGTTAATCCTGCGGTAAGCAATGATGATTTTAAGAGATGGACTAAGGTAGCAAATTATGTCAAAGTTTCTTGCAGAGCCAAAGATGTCTATTAGCTAATAGTATCAGTTGCCTTTAACAAAGTATATTTTAACATTTGTGTATTTATTTACTTGAATATGAGTACTATGTAACTCATTTAAACATGGTTTGCCTTTGTTACTATCTTTACTTTATTGTATTGTTTGGTATCCTCCCTTTTTATAAAAAGAATTTAAGATTACATTGCCCCTTTATATATATATTTTATATATATATATATATATATATATATAGCCCCTATATATATATATCCATAAAGTACATACATGTGGGCGTTTTCTTTTTTTTTTAACATCTTTATTGGAGTATAATTGCTTTACGATGGTGTGTTTCTGCTTTGTAACAAAGTGAATCAGCTATACATATACATATATCCCCATATCTCCTCCCTCTTGTGTCTCCTTCCCACCCTCCCTATCCCACCCCTCTAGGTGATCACAAAGCACCAAGCTGATCTCCCTGTGCTATGTGGCTGCTTCCCACTAGCTATCTATTTTACATTTGGTCATGTATATATGTCCATGCCAGTCTCTCACTTCGTCCCAGCTTCCTCTTCCCTGTCCCCATGTCCTCAAGGCTGCGTCTTTATTCCTGTCCTGCCCCTAGGTTCTTCAGAACCACTTTTTTTTTAGGTTCCCTATTTACGTGTTAGCATACGGTATTTGTTTTTCTCTTTCTGACTTACTTCACTCCGTATGACAGTCTCTAGGTCCATCCACCTCACTACAAATAACTCAATTTTGTTTGTTTTTATGGCTGAGTAATATCCCATTTTATATATGTGTCACATCTTCATTATCCATTCATCTGATGGACACTTAGGTTGCTTCCATGTCCTGGCTATTGCAAAGAGAGCTGCAGTGAACATTGTGGTTCATGTCTCCTTTTGAATTATGGTTTTCTCAGGGTATATGTCCAGTAGAGGGATTGCTGGATCATATGGTAGTTCTATCTTGAGTTTTTTAAGGAACCTCCATACTGCTCTCCATAGTGGCTGTATCAATTTACATTCTCACCAACAGGGCAAATAAATGCTCACTCCAGCATTTATTGTTTGTAGATTTTTTGATGATGGCCATTCTGACTGGTGTGAGGCAATACCTCATTGTAGTTTTGATTTGCAATTTTCTAATGATTAGTGATGTTGAGCATCCTTTCATTTGTTTGTTGGCAATCTGTGTATCTTCTTTGGATAAATGTCTATTTAGGTCTTCTGCCCATTTTTGGATTGGGTTGCTTGTTTTTATGATACTGAGCTGCATGAGCTGCTTGTAAATTTTGGAGATTAATCCTTTGTCTATGTAACACATGCTATGTAATTCATTTAAACATGGTTTGCCTTTGTTACTATCTTTACTTTCTGTATCTCTTCATAAAGTATTGTTTGGTATCCTCCCTTTTTATAAAAAGATTTAAGATTACATTGCCCCTTTATATATATATTTTAATAAATATATATATATATATATTTAGCCATAAAGTACATATGTGTGGGTGTTTTCTGTCTTTTTTTTTTTTTTTTTGGCTGCATTGGGTCTTCGTTGCTGTGCGCGGGCTTTCTCTAGCTGTGGCGGGCGGGGGCTACTCTTCATTGTGGTGTGCAGGCTTCTCATTGCGATGGCTTCTCTTGTTGCGGAGGATGGGCTCTAGGCACCTGGGCTTCAGTAGTTGCGGCATGCTGGCTCAGTAGTTGCAGCACGTGGGCTCTAGAGTGCAGGCTCAGTAGTTGTGGTGCACAGGCTTAGTTGCTCTGCGGCATGTGGGATCTTCCCAGACCAGGGATCGAACCCATGTCCCCTGCAGGCGGATTCTTAACCACTGTGGCACCAGGGAGGTCCTCCGTTTTCTGTCTTTTTGTCTAAGATCAGTGATGTCTTCCCAGAAAGGTGTGTGTGTGTGTGTGTGTGTGTGTGTGTGTGTGTGTAGTGATAATTAGAGAAATTGTAAAATCAGATATTAAAAGGAGCTGAGGATAATAGTTCATATTCCTGTTTTCAGATAGCAGACACTACCCTCTGAGAAATTTGGTGTTGTAAAGCATTTTATTGAGAACTTTTAGAGACTACAGAATTATAAAGCCTCAGCGAAGCAAACTAGGTAACAAGCTCTAGTGTTTTTTAACCCTTCTGGCTTCATAGAATCATAGACTGTTTGTGCTGGTTGGGACAGAGGTCAAACACCCTCACATTCATGGAAATTGTCCCTCAGAATCTCCTGGTTGCTGGTGATTGTTCTCCAAGGTTCTGAGCACAAAGGAGGTGCCACCCTGAGCCTGAACCTCTTTGCAGAGACACACTTGAAGATGAACTGACTATATTAACTACAGAGAGGACCTCTGCCTTGGAGATGGAAGCCTGTTAAGAGAAAAGCTGCGATGTCTCGGATTTCTTTCCATTGTGTTTCGCTTTAAAAATTTTAAACTTTGCTTCAGTCCTAAAGCCTGTGGTACAAGAACACAGCTTTCCAATCTTAACTATTTTCCAATGTAGGATAAACATGTTGGGTTTAGTTAAATTATGAATGCTGATAATATTCATTTGGTACAATTTATATTCTTCTTTTATCTTTTTATTTTTGACAGTTTAGGCTAGGGCATAAAGCATTATTATATTCTTGGCATCCTCCCTTAGAAGTTTTAAATCAGTTCATGAGGCTTTCAGCGCGCTTCCTGTCATTCATCCATCAGCATCCAGTCCATTTAATCCCGGCCTCTCAGCCGAGCTGCCCTAGCCCCTGTTGTGAGTGATTGGCCTGCTCCAGCGCTCCCAGCTTCTCCTGTCACATCGCATTTGCATAAAAGAGGACAGATAACCAAATTTGAGCACACAAATGAAAATGCTAAGCGCTAAACCTGTCACAGTTGTTGTTCAACTAATTGTGAAAAATTTGATTTGCTTGCCTTTCACTGTTTGTCATGTGGACCCCCTTCTCAAATGTGCCTTGGCTTCTGCCTCTGTACATGTAGCTTTTAAACTCTTGAGCACAAGCAGCCCACCCTGGGGATTACTTACCTCTCCTACCAGCTTTTAATGTTGGCTCATCTTCTTGACTAAATTAGGCCACCATGGCAAACAAACACATAATTAAAAACCCAGGAAAGACAACTGCAGTTGCACTTCTTAAATTGATTTTTACAATGCTGATGGATGCCTCTGTGTGTTCTTCCATTTGATAATTTTATTTCTTTATATAACCTTTTGGTAGGAGAAAATTAAGAATGGGCGTTGTAGAAACCTTTATGTTATTTTAAAACCTATGTGTTATTTTGCTCCTTTCTGTTCCTCAAATAACAAAACTTGTATAATGGGTCTTAAAAAGCATATTTCTGTTCCGTAATACTTTACCTGCCATACCAGTATACATTTTTAATCAAGGTTTCAAATGATTCCATTTGAAATTGTATTAGAAACAATGGATAAAATTCCTTTGCTCACAATACTCAATCACATGAGCTGTTTAAATGGTAGGTAGTATGAGTGTTTTGAAAATTTGTATGTGTACTATGTACAGTCTCGTTCAATATTTGTTATAAAGAGGCTTTAACTTGTTTTTACAGGCATTAAGTTGGTAATTTCTTGATGCTCATTAAAACAATACATAATGGTATCTCTATAAAGTCAAAAACCTTGTTTTCCAGGAGTCGCACGAGAAAATGTCTCTTTCATTTATAACAATACCTCTCATTGCTTTACTGCATTAATTTGTTTCTAATATTTTAGGTATGTGATGTTCAAGCAACAAAGAAGAGGGCATTAACTAAAGTTGAAACCTTTTAGGGTTGAATACAGCTTAAATTACCTTGAAGAATTGGAGGGTTATATTCTTGAAATTGGGTTAAAATGAAATGTGACATTACAGTGACAGTTTGTGGTTTGCAAAAGTTGGATGCAACATCATTTATTGCAGTATTCCTTTGGGATTTATTTTTAGTAGGTCATATGAAATGGATTAAAGAAATATTTGAACGGTATAATTTTATACAGTCTTATCCTAAAGAAAAGAAGGTCTTTCTTTTTGCTACAACCCCCTAAAATGCTGAGTGGTTAAATCTAACGTGAAAATTTGAATGCACACTAATCTCTTTACAATGTTTAATCCCATTTTAGTTCAAAGGAGTTAAATTATGGTATGAAATGCTCACCACTTTAACACATACATGATAAACTTAAATTTTTTTTTTTAAGAGCTAGAGGAATAATTTCATCCCTATTATATTTTGTTTATACTTCACTATTTTTATGTCATCGTAATTTCTTACTGTGTGGGTGAAAGTCTCTATGACGCTGATGTATAAATTTCAACTAGATATGGCTAGTCACATATGAACAATATTGATTATAAGATATTTTAATATCTCTAAACCAAACATCTGGAAAAGACCACAAAAATTAATTTAACACTCTAGGAAGGGTTGAATGAAACTCTTACCAAAGAACTCTCTTATTATAGCATTTAGCACAGGACCTTTTACAGAGTAAAATTAATAAGTCTAAACCATGGTCTACCTTCATTCTACTTCCATGTTGTTCTGATTCCTCTTCAGTAATATTTTTCCTTTATCCACATATATTTTCATTTTGCATTAGTTTAATTATGGATCATTTAATTATGGAGGTAGCATTAACACTGTGGTTAATAATTTGGGTTTAGAACCAGGCATGGGTTGGAGTCCTGTCTCATGCTCTCAGTAACTGTATGACCTTGGGAGAAACTCACTGTTATCTCCAGATTTCTCTTTGACATACTGGAGATGATAACACCATCCTCACAGATTAGTTATTAGGTTTAAATGACTTAATGCATGTGATACTTTTAGATTATAATTTGGCACATAGTAAGTGCTCAAAAGTAGTAGCTATTATTGTAGTGCATACAAAATTAATGCTTTACTTTTGCCTTTGACCTATTTTAAATACCTTTTAAAGGTTTCTGAGCAATCATATTTAGTATTTTAATGGTTTTATATAATATTCCATAGTTTACCCAATATTCCCCCAACAAGTGGATGTTCATATTGTTACTAGTCCTCTTACTTTTATAAATAAACACTGTTATCTGTATCTCTGTTCATTCAAGCCCCCTACCCTACTACCCCCACCTTTTGTATTATTCCTCTGAGTTAAGTTTCCAGAGTGAGATTCCTGTTTCATATGGCATGAACTCTTTATAAATATTGAACTATATTGCAAAATTGTCATCTAAGAAGTTGAACTACTTTACAATGTCAACCACAATCTCTGCCCTCACTAGTGTTGGTCTTGCTTGCATTTCCTGCTTTGGTGTGTTCATCCCCTCAAAGTCGCATCCCAGCTCAAAACTACTGCATAGTTACCCCTTATTCATCTCACATTAGAATAATTCTTCTTAACCATTGTCTGTCTTTTGGCACCATTAGAATTATTCTTCTGTGGCTTCTTGAATAAAGTTAAAAGTTTTTATTAGTTAAAATAAACCATTGAATCAATTGCCTACTAAGTCTACCATTAAAATTTTTTTTTTTTTGTATTAGGAAACTGCACAGCCTAGTTCCAAGAATACAGGCTTCAAGTCAGACAGATCCGGGTTTAAATCCTGATGTTATTATTTACCAAGCTGGGTAACCTCAGGCGAAATCTGTCAACTTCAATTCCTCATTTAGGATAAGAGCAACCATACCAAACTTGTTTGGTTATTGTGATTTAAGGCATGTGAAATCTTGGCTGGCTTTAGGCACTCAATAAATATTAGTTAATTTACTCTTTTAATTACTACTCTGTTCCTACTCTTGCTCTTTTCTCAGGATATTTCCTGGAAATATTTTTCCTCTCCCATTTCCAAACCATTGCAAATGCTGAGATTCTTTATTCTCTCTGCTGAATTTTGATATTTTTTTCTTTGAAATCATCTTTACTCATTTCTCCATATTAGACTCACCTGCTTCAATGACTACTCTTGTTTGGGATTTGAAGAGTATATAGAATTTTTTTTATTGAATATTAAGCTTATATTGGGATAAGATACTGAAGGAATCCATGAGTTAATATGAAAATATAAGCTGTCATTTGGGTGGGGAAAGCAGAAAAGAGGAGAGAAGACTTTTATGAAATCACTTCTCTTCCCCAGTGAGTGAAACCATGTTGGTTCCTAATGGCTCTAATATATCCTCCTGGTCTTGGAGCTAGCAGAACTTGAGATAAAAGAGACTCAACAGCTCTTGGGCTAATTATGTTTACAAAGTGCTTTCCACTCATCTTGGCCTACTTAAATTTTTAATTGTATAAAAACATTTCCCTGACCTTAGAAAACTTACAAGATGGTTAGAAATATAAACAAAACATTTTTAAAAATCACAGATAAAGATTAGGAAATAACACCAGCATGACATGCGTAGACCAGGATTTTCAAACTTCAGCAGTATGGGAACTGAAGAGTGTATGTGGTCCCTGAAAGTATTAAAATTTAATCTATAGCAACAACAACAACACCATGTTGACGAAACAAAATACATCTGTGTGACATTCTGTGGGATGCTGCTTTCTAACTACTTGCATGCAAATTATGTTTACAGAACCAGCCATGGTTCAGGAAGAGTTTATGAAGACATTGGTTTTAAGCTTTAAATGACAAGTGGGACTTGAAAATAGGAGGCCATATGCTAGGTAGAAGTGATGGAAGGGGAAAGGCAGAGAAAGAAAAAGTAGATGATCTTTCCTAAGATGAGTGAATGCTTTGATTTTATTTGAGAGGAAATTCATGCCCAAGACAAAAGCTCCAGTGGTGAAAAGGAGTTGATGTTTATACTGTGTGCAGGGGCAAATTACAGAAGGGGATGCCTCCCCCTCCCCTCCCCCCTGGAGATTAACCTAATGAAAGTAATATTTGGTTTAGGATGATTGTGCAGGTGGTGTGCTGAAATTAGGGGACAGAGAAAAGCCTGGAGAAAAAGAGACCAGTTTGAAGATGATTTCAGTGGTCCAGGTACGAGGTACTAAGTATAAAGGTGGTGAAACATGGAAACGGAAGAGCACATAAAATGAAGGTTTCATAAAAAGAATTAATAGGTCTTGAGACCAGATAAAATTTGGAGCTCAGAAAGATAAATCAAAGTTCATTGATGTTTCAAACTCGGGCAGAATATTAACTAATGAAACAGAGCTAGCTGGCTTTGGGGGGAAGTTCTGAGTGTGATTCTAGATTTATAAAGTAAAATATTTAAGTAATGTAGTGTATAGGTAGTTGTGGTGATTGAGACTGGAAGTGCAGGTGTGGAGATCAAATATGAAAGTTACATGGAAGGAGGAAATGAAAAATGATAAACTAGAGTCAGGGGATATAACTTGTTTAAGGACTTTGACAGTGAAAGAAAAGCTAGAGAGATAGCTTGAGCAAGTAGGAGAATTATAAGAAAGTTATTATTTTTCAGGAAAAGGGAGGAAAATTGGGAGGGACCAGTAAAGTAGGGACACCTCTTTCTCTGCCCAAAGCAAATCACATGATCATATTGTAAAAAAATTAATAAACATAAACCTCAATTAAAATAGATTGGGGAAACGAGAGAGAAGTGGAGGGGCTCTTCTGTGATGATACTGGAGCCCAACAGAAGAAGAATGATTCCTCTTCTTTCCTGGTAACAACTCAACCAATGAAAAGCCATTGGACTCTTTGTTTACTAGAGTCCTCTCAACTTCCTTTTCCCCTCTATAATAGAGTTTTCCTTCTCTTGTCAAGTGGGGACTTGTACACGGCTCACAATTGTTGTAGACCACGAATTGCAATTCTTTGCTGATCCTGAATAAATCCATTTTTGCTGGAGAAGTAACTGGCAGTCTGTTTTAGGTAAACAATATCAATAAAAGTCCAAATCCCACACTGGATTAGATTCAAGAATTAGGTTCCTTTTTTTTGCTGCTCTGGGGACAGCAAAGAAAGGGAACTCCCTTTCTTGTAGCAAGAGGTAAGATCAGAGTTCAGAGTGGGAAACTACCATAAATTCCTGAAATTGTGTGTGAATTAAAAATGTTTTAGTAGAATTCTTTTTTCACGACCTTTGATATCTGCTTTAGAATTTTGTTAAATGTTTTATTGGGGTTGTAAGATAATAATAGCTTTTTATTAAAAGCTTTGAGAAATTATAACTGCCAAGACCCAGCCACTGTAGTGAGTGACTACAGTAAGTGATTGTAGTGAGTGACTACAGTAAGTGATTATTGTGATCATTCACAACCACAGCAGGCATTACCACTCCTCTTCAATGTCTGGTTTTCCTTCACCTTTGGGCAGGCAGATGGGTGGGCAGCTTTTCCCCACCCTGCTGTCCTGAAGATAGGTATGCATGCAATTTGCTTTTCCCAGGGTGTGTGAGTAGAAGTACTATGTGTTAGTAATGACTCAACTCTTCAACCTGCTTGTCCTTCCCATTGTGATTGATCACGGACATGCATGTTGATGTGAAGATGCTGTAAGACTCAAGCAGGTGATAATGAAGCCAACATGTGAAGGTAAGCTGCCCCAGAGTGCTGTGTGTTGTCTGTTGTCTGGGAGAGTGAGAGAGAGAGAAACTTTCGTTGAACTTTTTTTTTTTTTTTTAAACCGCAGCTTAATCTAGCTTATTCTGATAAATAAAATGACTGAATTGAAAAGTATAAAAAAGGCAAGTTACAGAATGCCTACAGGTCTCCCTTCACTTACCTGAAATGTTTATAGTGGTTCCAAGTATAAATCCTTATACTTAGAATGTAAAATTTTATAACAATAGGTATAAACAGGGTAGTAATAACAGCTAACATTTAATAAGCTCTTTCTGTATGCCAAGACCTGTTCTAAACCCATCTAAGCTCTGTACATTCTCTCATTTAACCCTCATGACAATCCTAAGAGGAGACTTTTATTAATAGGGCCATATTACAAATAATAAAACTAAGGACAGAGAGGTCTGGGAACTTCTCCATGGCAAATTCAATGTTCAAACCCAATATGTCTGTTTTTAGGT